CCATCAGCTAAATAATAACTTCGGTTCTATTTTGTACCATTTATAGTAAATTGAATATCAAAAGCATACCCATGTAACACATCGTTAAACAAAGGAGATTGGTTGAGCACATTGATGTCGTTGTTAGATATGGCAATTCCAAATAATGCATGTCATATCCATAAATCTGTAGATGCGACTGCTTCAAGCACTAGGGTAGGAGAACCTTGATAACCAGAAGTAAAACGACCTCTCCATCCAACTGGACAATTTTTCCATTTCCAATGCATGCAATCAATGCTATCAATTAAGCATACCTGGAAAACCATGCCGTTCATCGTACATTTGAAGTAAACATTCAACGTCACTATCATTAGGCCTTCTCAAATATTGTGACTGAAAAATTTCAATCACAGTACGACAACAGTATCATAAACACTCTAGTGTAGTACTTCCACCCATCCTTAAATATTCGTCAACACAATCGGCTGGTAATTCGTATGCTAATTGACGAAGAGCTACTGTAGCTTTTTAAATGGGGAAAATCCCATTTCACCTGATGCATCAGGCTTTGTTGAAAGTATTTAGAGTGATTTTAGAGAAATTGTACCATGCAGAGAAATAATTCTTTCCTCATGCGGAATCTTGTACAGAAAGTAGCTGAAAAGAATACTGGATTGCCAGAAAAATAATCATCAAATAACCTTTGTTCTCCAATTTCGCGCTCTCGATCGATATGCCTTCTTCTTCGCGAAATATTGTACCTTTTCGTTGCTCAATCAACTCATCCAACCTCCTTAAATCCTCTAGACCCATGTTATCAAAGATTTGTTCCCGCATATAATCATTCATTTCATTGTCAAAAATAAAGGGATCAAAACTGGGAAGCGAATTTTGAGACATGGTTGTGTGTGGAGAGTTGTTCCAAAAAATATGAATACCAAAGAGTTGAAAAGACTTGAACAATATCACTAGTCTCATTCCATATTAATTTATAGAGTGTACTTGCAACAAGTTCAAAAGAAAGATTTGACTATATTATCCAAGGTATGGATAAGATAATGAGCAAGATGTGACTACACTATGATACGAATGAACAAATGAAAAAAGAATGACATGACTATAGTATCAATGTATTTATGGACAAGATAAAAAGAGGGATGTGACTACACTATGGTACTTATGGACAAATAAAAAAAGAAAGATGTGACTACACTATGGTACTTGTGGAGAAATGAAAAAGATGGACGTGACTACACTATCAATGTATTTATGGACAAGATAAAAAGAGAGACGTGACTACACTGTACGTACAGACAAATAGAAAAAGAAAGATGTGACTACACTATCAATGTATTTGTGGACATGATAAGAAGAGAGATGTGCCCACACTATGGAATGTATGGAGAAATGGAAAAAGAAAGACGTGATTTCACTTTCAATGTACTTATTCATTTAAAGTATTCAATACTTACTTTTTGAGCTTTTTGAGCTAGTCCACATTGTTTCGGTTTTTTTTAAAAAAACTTTTTTCATGCAATCAATTAGAAGTTAGTACGATAACAATTATACGATGCGGTAAACACAATAATACTTCATATTTAAAACACAACAATATGATATAATAAAATTCAAATACACTGACACAACTCTTACATTTTAGTTTAAATAAAACCAAAGACTCGCAGTGAAAATGACTAAATTAAAATAATAACCTAACAAGACTATCTATAATTAGACAAGATTTTTTCACATAAAAGTTCATGTATTGCTCGTTGTTCTGGTGTCATCTTCGAGGTGTCCTTCGACAAAATTTCATATTCTTTGGTAACTTTATGCCTCATGTACGCCTGATTGTAAAATTCTTGTTGCTCTAATTTTTTGGCTTTCAAATCCATCCTCTTTTGTGAAAGTTCAACAAGTTCATCGTCATCATCCCGTGCCTTGCACTTTTCTTTTGACTTCCGCTTTCCTTTCTTGGCTGTTTTTTGGCCTATTGGGCGAACCTCCTCTTCGATCTTATTGATTTTAACATTTTGATTAGCATTTGAAGATGAAGTGTATAATTTGGATTCGTTGATTCTTGTTCTCTTTGACAATTTTTCGACAGTAGAAACAACTGGCCATTCTGGATCATTTTTCACAATTTCCACACATGCTCATGCACAAAATGTTTTTTTTTTTAATTTGGTAATATACCTCTTGAGCTGTATCCTTTACTGAATCATCACTCCACCCACTACGGTTCTCATTCCATAGTCTATTGTAGTGTTGGTTAAAATTATTGATATACTTTGAAAACCAAAACCAATGAGACTTTAACTTACCTTATTCTCATTGTGGTAAAGATCCTCGGTTTTCATTGTAGTAGGCAGCAATCTTCTTCCAAAATTCTTTCATATCTTGGTAGTTTCCCGTAATGCTGCATTTAGTAATTGTGAGCCATGCACGAGCCAAAAGTATGTCTTCCTCCTTACTCCAACATTGATAATTTGAAGTATTTTCTTTTTTCTGGTGCTTACGATAGAGGAATATTATCCAAACCAAATTGAGTTGAAAAAGCTGAAAAATAATCTTGGGGAGTTAATGCCCTTGGCGTTGCATTTGGAGAGTCATATTCGTCTCAGACGTCTTTTCTAGTTGAAACTGGTGTAGATAGATTTTCGCAAGACGAATCCGTATTTGTAAATCCCATTGAAAAATTATTTCCAATCATTTGAGAAAAATAATCGGGCGGTCGGTACATCACGAATAGATTTGGGACATAAGAAGAAGGCAAATTAGGGATCTCAAAATTTTGGATATTAGGATGAAAATTTTGGGGGGAGAGGGGATTTGAAAATTTGTGAGACGGATTTTCATTGTTTGTAAGAGGATTTTTGTTATTTTTTCGGCTCATGGTAAGTAGAAAATAGAGAAAAAAAAAAAAAAGTAGAAGTTGATGTGTAGTAAAGAAAGAACTATAGGTATAGAAGAGAGGAAAAATAGAGAAAATGGTGTGTTATGAAAATCAATGTTGGGAGTATTTATAGGTAAAATCTTAAATTATTTTCTAAAAAAATATTATAAAAAATTATAGTGAAAATGTTAACAAATAGCTAATTTTTTCAATGTTCAATGAATATCTATAACGGCCATAAAAATGAAGAAAAAAAATGAAGAAAAATTATTTGAGATGATGCTGAAGAAGACAAAAAAATGGGCATATTTAAAGAGGAAAAAAGGACATGAAAAAGGTTTTGCTGGTTGGCAACGATTTTTTTTTTATAAAAAAAAAAAAACCAAACAGAATTTACACAAAAAAAAAACATGAATAAGGCAAAAAAAAAAAGTATGGTGGCTGACCATTCGTGGCCCCACCGAAAAGAAAAAATTTTTTTAAAAAGAAATGGGGCTGGCCAGCGGCTGTCAATGTGAGGGCCCTCATTATCCTACTCCATATCAGAATTACACCGCTTGAAATATTTACAACTCTTAACAATATTAAACGAGCTCTAATTGTCTACTGTTTTTTTTGTCCTAACATTACACAATAAATAAACGATTACTGTGGATGCCCTTAATAAAATGCTGACGTGACAGTGAGAAAAGGTAGTTTGATCATTTCTGTAAAAGGTCATCAAATTCCACCCCAAGAACTGGAGAGATTAAAAGGTTCTGAATCTTCACTAGTAGTCGTGCTTGAGATGCTTGTAGCTGTTCTGAATATGTGACTGACATTAATAACACAACAAGAATCACCAAGTAGCCAATTCTAATTACCATGAACTCCTTGACATGTATCCTAAAAGAAAGGATGTTCATCCTCTGCAGCTCTACCAATAAGAAGAGCAAAAAACAGTAGCCTAGATCAAAGGAAATTTAGAGAAAAACCCTGTAGAAATCATGGCCGGATGGAAAAAAGTTAGCAGATGAAGGTAAAAATGCCTATGCATGCACATTTCAGAACTAAAAACAGTGAATTTCTGAGATTTTCTAGATTAAGTACCAGATGAGAAGTACAGAACATTGGTAATGGAAAGATTACTAGATTAATTAACTCGACAACAACACTGAACAGTAAAGTCAGCCTGGAAAGTATTTGGTGAGAAGTCAACCTTCAAATGAGGAAATAAGAAGCTTTTCTTTCCCAAGTTTTAAAAGTATTTTCAAAACAAAGGCTGCACAACCGTATCAAATGCTACGTATGAAACTGCCTTTATATCCACACAGTGATCAAAATAGATAATCACTCATCCGAATTCCTGAAAAAATCTATCCCTCTTACCCTCATTCTCCAAGCAAGCAAAAAATGTCCTCGATTTCAGGTTGTTGTTTGGCAGCTTGCCTCATTTAAAGTGCAGGAAGATAGACTCTAGTTTCATGAACAATTCAGATTCCAATTGCTGAGTTTACGATTCTCGTTCACATTTTTAGAGGCGTTGACGTAATTTGCTGAAGTTCGATTCCATAATGTTCGTTCTTATGCCTTTTAGTAGTCAAGGAACGATGAAACTTGCACCTGAGCATTTCCGATCTTTATTGTTTTGTCATTCATGTTTGATTTAAATGATGTCTTTTGATGGAGGAAAAATGGTTTCTTGCAACCTGAAATCACTATTAGCATTAGGTAGACATATTTTGTAAATTAAATCAACTAAAGCAAACAATAGATAATTTTTTTTTCCTTTAATGTAACTTTGCACAGTATATAGAAGAAGTACTACATGATCACTTCTAGTTGGGTAAAGAGACTGACAGCTTCATCACATTCAGCCTTGATGCAGTTAAACTATCCATATGAAAGCGCAAATCTTCGTCGCAACACATCATGATCCATTCGCCATGGTCGTCATACTTAATCTTAAACTTTTCAATGTCTAAATCGAATCTTCTATTCAATTCTCTGTGCAGTTCTTCAAACCCCGAGTTACTACCAAAACGAAACTGTACAGTATCATCTCTGTAACTGGCCTTAACAATGACGGAATTACTGCATTCGGTCTTGTGATTTCCTGCATCAGAACCTTCACCCTTCGGCTTCATAGCCGGAAACAGTATGACCTCCTTAAAACTTTGAGAATCGTCAAAGGCATAACTAAACGATCAATGCCTAATCCCCATCCACCAGTTGGGCATAAACCATATTCAAGGGCAGTGCAAAAATCTTCATCCAAAGCCATGGCCTCATCATCGCCGGTTTGTCTATCCCTTAGCTGGTCAACAAATAGCTGGCGTTGCACCACAGGATCATTCAATGCAGTGTATGCATTACAGAGCTCATTCCTATTAACGAATAACTCAAATCGCTCTGTCAACCCTTGTATCGAACAATGCTCTTTCGCCAACGGGCTCATTTCCACAGGATGGTTGATAATGAATGTTGGGTTCACACAGGTCTCTTCAAGAAAGTACCCTACAAGCTTATCCAACATCCTAGCTATCGTTTGTGGACATTCAATTTGTAGATTAGCACATAAATCTACCAAGCATTGGTGAGCTTCATCACTAGAGAGATCTTCGGGTATTGTTACGAACTTCCTGAGCTCCGGTAACATATCAATTCTTCTTAAAGGGGTGTAAAATCAATCACAACTGGATCATCCCCCGGGATATTTGGGTGATACATTATCTTATAACCACTAGTAAGCTCGTTCACCAACCCGCTCAATAGGTCTTCAGTCATCTTCATCAGCTTATTATAATCAGCATGAGCCATATAAAATTCACAAGCTGTAAACTCAGGGTTGTGAGTTTGGTCGATTGCTTCATTCCTGAAAAGCTTCGCTACTTCAAAAACACGATTCATCCCACCAACAACAAGCTGCTTCAGCTTCAATTCGGGCGATTTACGCAGTTGAAGATCCATGTTCAGGACATTGCGATGGGTAAGGAATGGCCTTGCTGCTGCTCTCCCGGCAACCCTGTCCAGCATTGGTGTTTCCACCTCCAAGAACCCGAGATTCTTCAGAAAGCTCCGTATGTAAGAGATGATTTGATCTCGGGTTTCGAACTTTTCCCGAACTTCGGGATGAAACAGGAGGTCCAAATAACGTTGCCTGTAACAGATTTCCTGGTTCTTTAATCTCCATGGCAGCATGTGCAGACATGGTGCCAAAATTGTGAACTTCTCCGGGAAAAGACTGAGCTCCCCCCTCTGGGTTTTGCCCGGAAACCCGACAACGCCGACGACATCACCGCGCTTAACGCCGGAGTGAAACTCTGCGATCTCTTCCGGCGATAAATCGGATTGCCGCCCATCCGCCATAACCTGAACCCTTTCGCCGTCATCGAGTAAATCGTAGAAGAAAAGATTCTTCCCTGATTCCCGTTTTGCCATAATCCGACCCGACAACGAAACACCTTCATCTTCAAGACGCTGCCCACTTTCCAATTGATTCATATAATTCTTCTTGAATTCCGGAATGCTCGTTGAGGGTTGGAACTCGTACGAGTACGGGTTCGGGTTCAGGTTGTTCCCGGTTGACCTTTGGGCCATAAATGACTTCAGCCTGCTTCCGTAGTATCCCCTGGGATCTAATTTGTCATCCCCTCCGGCAACTTGTTGCTGCTGAGCTCGTCGACTCATCTTTGCCGGCGGCAATCTGGCTGATGAATAATAATAGGAGGAAATCCGAAAAGGAAAGTCTGACTTTCTTGAATGAATCAAAACGGTGCTTATAACCAGTGTTGTTGGACTCGGCTCGGACCGGCCAGTTCAACCAATCAAACCGAAAATCGGACCGCATACCAAGCCGAATGACTTGAAAAACTCTTTTTCTTTGACTTGGTCAAAGGCGGTCAAAATCCTGAGTGAACCGAAAACCGGGTCGACTCGAAGTTTGCTGATTTTTTTGTTTCGTTTGACCAAATTTTTATTTTTTTCCCTCGTTGTTCGTGTGTTTCTTTCTCTTCCCTGGTCCTAATATTTTCCTTTTATGCTTCAATGACCCAATAACTTTTTTCTTCAAGAATTAATTTGTCGTTTTAGTCCTAAACTTTTGACTTCGACTTATTAAAAGCATCATTTTTAAATAAAAATATTTTTATTATTTTTTTCTCACATATTAACATCCATTATTTCATACAAATTGCAATCATATTTAAAATATGTCAAAATTGATTATTCTATTATACATTTTATTAGTAATAAAAGTTGATGATCTTCTAAATTTATGAATTCTAATTAAAAATAATTAGATTGTGTTAATTTTTAAGTTAATATATTTATTTTAAATGTAATTACATACTCTAAGATACTATTGCTGACATAACTATAAAAAAAATTACATGAATATTAAGCCTTTTTAATTATTATAATATATTTAATAATTATATATTATTTATTATGTCATAATGACATCATCCGAATCGACCCCCTGAGTCGACTCGAATCGACCCCTAAAACCCCTGACCTCTATCCTCGCCGAGTCGGTGTCCAAGCCGAGTCTGACAACACTGCTTATAACCTTTTCAAAAAAAAATTGTGCTTATCCGGCCTATGGGAAGGAATTTATATATATATATATATATATATATATAGCTATTTGGAATTTGGACTAAATTTATAAACCAAAAAGAAGAAAGCTAGATCTAGTCAAAAGTAGCATATAAAACAGTATAATACTACTACAGTCTACAGCAGCCGAAGTTTCCTATTTCTTGGAGTATACCCAAATGATTCTCTTTCTTCTTTTTTTATTTTCTCATTTTTACTTGGAGGATACTCATTAGAAATACTATTTTCGTAACAAAATTTCACATTAAATTTTGCACTAATTTTAATACAAATTTCAAATTTCAAATTTAAAAATCGGCCATTTTTGGATAGTATGAGTAATTTTTATCTCAAAATTTTCGATTTGACATATATTTTTACCAAAGATGATTAAGAAACACTTCATATATAATACTTCCTGTCCAAAAGTAATTATCTTAGTTAAGTCAATCATTTCGAAGTGAGAGAATATATATTAAGTTAATGTACACTCATGTACACAAGGTCTTTGTGTTGACATACATCATGAATATTTTATTTTAATCAGAATTGTACCCAAATTTTGTGTATATATATGTACTCCCATCAAATATACTTAATGTACACACATACATTTTCGAAAATTATTGTCAAAAATAGAATTTGCAATAGAATATAGTGTGCCTCGAACGTGCAAGTTACAGCCGAGCATACAAAGCCAAGGCAACAAAAATTACGGTCGCAATTCTTATTAGATACAAAAAAAAAAAAGTGATTTACTATAATACCAAAGAAAAAATGTTGGTAAATTAACTTATTGTATGGCATGTTTCCGAGTTGTTTTTTAAATAAAATAAAAAAGAAAAATTAATAAGAAGGATCGAAATTAGGAGCAAAGGGCCGCAAGATGCTTTTCATCTAGTTTTTGTTTGGTTAGATAGAATTGAAAATAAATGAGAATTAACATTTTATAGAATTGAAAATGAAAAGCGTCATGAATATTTCTGGGTATAACTGGTTGGTAGGTGAAGGTGAAAGAATGAGAGCAGCACACTGTATCTGGGCTAATGATAATATCTCAAAACATGGTTTCATATCCTGGTTAGTATGGAAGAAAAGAATCCTCACCAAAGATAGATTACTCAGGATGAATGTAGGAGTTGATGATCCTATGTGCATACGGCTGTGTAAAGGGCTACCTGAATCAGTGGAACATGTATCTTTCCATTGCTGCTTTTCAAGGAAGGTACTGGACTTGCTGAGGCAGTAGTTGGGTTCATATGGTTATAAGAGACTCACACTGCTTTTGGTGTGTTTGTATATATAAAATTTACATTTTCACCCAAAAAAAAAACCAAAAAAAAATTGAAAATGAAATTTTGGGATCACAATTCACTCTGAAAGAAAAAAAAAAATTCATCGCAATGGATCCCACTAAAATGTGAGAAACCTCTTTTGTAGGAATTGAACCTACGTTTACTCTCAAGAAACATGACACCCTAGCCATTACGGTTTTGTTCAACCTGAAAACCTTTGTTTGGTAGATGTAAAGAAATGGTAATGAATTACTTGTTTAATTTGGCAGCTATCTTTATTTTCAGTGTAGGAAGAGTGGCTTTTAGTCTCAAGAATAATTCAGATCCGAATTGCTATTTTTACGGTTCTCAATTCGCATTTTTAGAGACTGTAGAAGTAGTTATGCTAAAGTTCGATTCTGTAATGATCAGTAGTCAAGGAATGGTGAAATTCACATTTGGGCATATTTCCGATCATTGTAGTTTCATCATTCATGTTTGGTTTAAATGGTATCTTTTTATGGGTAAAAAAATGGTTGTTTGCAACCTGAAATCAGTATTAGTAGTATAAAGCAAAGATATCTCAAAGATAAAATTAACTAAAGCAAACAAAGGACAAACTCTTTTGTTTTATGTAACTCACACAGTGTATATCACTGTTGAGCCATATAAAATTCACTAGCTGTAAACTCAGGGTTGTGAGTTTGCTCAATTGCTTCATTCCTGAACAGCTTTTCCTATCACGAAAACACGCTTCATTCCGCAAACAACAAGCTGCTTGACTTCAAGTCGAGCGATTTGTGCAGTTTGAAGATCTAAGTGTAGGGAGTTATGATGGGGTGAGGATTGGCCTTGCTGCTGCTAATCCAGCAATCCTGTCCAGGATTGGTGCTTCCACAGCTCCGTGTTATGATCTTTGTATTTTTCCTTTATTGTCAATTTACATAGTATCCAATTACTAGTATATAAAGCATCCTGTAAGAGATGACTCTATCTCGGGTCTCAAACTTTTTGAGAACTTCCGGATGGAGCAAGATGTCCAAATAACGTTGTCTAAAACATGTTTCCTTGTTGCTGAAACTCCTCGTCTTGAACCCAAGAACTTCACCGTTACATGTAGCACAACTGGAGTTTCATTATGCATTGAGGAGAATGAGCAGAAAATTAAAGATTTTGTGCATTGGGGCAGAACATGCTCAAGAAAGGTGACGAACTTAGAATAGTGAGGCATCCTTTATGCCCTAATCAGTCTGTTGTTTGATTTATGTCAGTGACATTTTTTGAAAGCTACTCTTATCTAAAAGGGAAGGGGGAAAAAATGGAAATTTGTCCGTGTTAGAGATTTTTAATTTCCTGGAGCTGAAAGGCGTAATCGTGGTGGTTTGAATGATGATACTGGAGAGCTATCGCTGCTGTTGGATTCGCAGCTTTTCCAAGCATCCTGAACCTGAGCAGAAAATTGCAAGTTCCACAGAATATCCTCCACCGAGGGTCTATCTGATGGATTTCTGAGCAAGCATTTGCAGCAGATTTCTATCATTGTCTTCAGTGACTCATCTGAGCATGCAGCTGTAATAGCTGGATCAGCTACGCTTTTTCGAGTTGCATCATCAGCTGTTATACTTGCTTGAACCTGCGTAATATAAACATGTTACGCGAGAAGTGCCTTTACATTGACAGTATAAGATGTGACTATAAACCTAGTGCAGGTAAATACCAGCATAGTCATTATACACTAGCAAGAAGTTTTGCAAGTTAAAATCCAAACTGACCACTCCGAAGCTGAATTAATTATTCAGTTTTCTGTATTACTTCTTACATAGGTGAGATTCATGTCACCAATACACTAAGGTGAGCTTGATCCATACCTGATCCTTTAGAATGATTATTTCATTTTTTGTGTTAATTGTCCTTCCAGTGATCATCTCCAGCAGTATGACTCCAAAGTCATGAATGTCGAACTTCTCATGATTTTTCACCCTGTAATCAAGGTCAATCTGTATAAATTATCACAGACTTTCCTACAAGAATTTCCTAATATGATCAGCATGCAAAGCTTAATCCACTAGCTACTAGTACAAACCTTATGCTCCTAAAAGCTGTCGATGAACCAGGAGAACTTTCGGTACTTTCCTGCAAACGAAAGCCAAATTAGAATCTGAAGCCTGAAATGTACAACATAACAGAACCATATAATTGAAACTTAGTCAAACAACTTTCAAACCTTCTCTACACATTCTGCCAGCAAAGGTAGGTTATAGCTACTAATCTTTGCCGCAAGATTCTGGTCCAGTAGTATATCTGTTATTTTCAGATTATTCGGAAAGATACCAGGCACAATTCCTCCATGCAGAAATTGTATGCCCTTTGCCACTCCTATAGCAGCAGCAATTCTCTGTGGCCAATTAAGTTTTCGTTTAGAATGCCTATCTGCAAAAGAGTGCCACTAAAAACTGTTAAAAACAGGACATAAATCTGAAAAAGGTGATAGGATAGGAGGAATTACAAAGTGGCTTTTACATCTGTACAGAATATGCACTTAGATACAGTATTTGATATTGTACTTGAAAGAATGCAAAAAAAAAAAAATACCACATTGGCAGCACTCAGAAATTTGATCAGCAACTGCTGATGTGGTATGAGTTTAGTTACCTGATATCCAGCTCCTTAAGCTCCTGTTCGGTACATATTCAAATACAAGAAATATTCTGCTCACACTAGAATCATCCAAGTAAAACTCAAAACAGTGTCCAAGAGCACAGACCAAGTGTTGGTGTCTGAGTTTCGACATTAACTCTATCTGATGCACAAAGTTCTGCACACTCTTCCTTTTTTTTAATTTCAGGCATCTAATAACCACTCGGGAACGAGATGCATCCTTCAACTGACCTATATAAACCTGAGTTCATATAAAGTGAAACTTTTTAGTAATTACAACTTATATAGTCTAGTAACTTCTTTAGCTGATCTACAAAATTATATTAACACTGGTTTTAGGCATCAGAATATGCGCGCACAGTAAAATTCTTGCAGAAGATGTAAAAGGAAAGCTAAAAATGGGAAAGCCCACCACATCAGTCCCATGGAATTACTTTGACAGCATGCGTACAGACTCTTGACAATCAAACAACCAAAATTTCAGACTTTTCGTTTCACAAAGTATTTATTACCAATGATTTAACAAGTTGTACCTCTGAATTAGTTATAGCATGTATACCTGACCATGAGATCCTTCATCTGTCAAGGTTGATGAGTGAAAGTTGTTGGTCGCTTCCTCAATCTCTTCCAGTGAAAATGTTCGATAGGGTGGAAGACCAAGGGCCCCTAACTTCAGTTTTTGTGTTACATATCCTAGAAAATAATCTCTAGTTACTTGCAGACATGAGTAAGAATAGCACTCAATATCAGGAACAAAATTACAAAAGGATGCCTTAGATTTAAATATTTCCACAGGTGTAACGCAACTAGTGAATGTTGACGTCCACCATAGAGAAAATCTATGAATGCAAGGAAATGGTGTCAAAGAAAGGATCTGCATGCAATGAAGAACACTATCTATTAAACAGAAAGTGGGACTTACTAGCATCTGAAAGTAACTTTGAGGTGTAACCTGCGGCTACATGTTCTTCAATAGTTCTTACTGGCTTCTCTACCAGCAAGTTCCTTGTACGATATCTCCTTATTAAAAGAAAGACTAGAAGAATTAGTACGATTGCTCCTATCAGCCCTCCCACAATGCTCCCAGCAAGAATTAGTTTTGAAGCTTCCTTTTCCTTTTTGTGATGAGGTAAAACTCCCACAGCCAATGCTTCAGTTTGGCAATAGGAATACGGCTTTTGAGTTGCATCTCCAGTAGAGAAACAGTTACCAGCATATTCTACTATCCTGCTTCTTGTTTGTGATAGTAGACAGCTAGGCAATTCACCCGCCAACAGATTAGCCGACAAATTCACAAACTTCAGTTCATTATTACAAGACAAGTCATCAAAAAGCATTCCTGTAAATCTATTTTCTGCAATGTCCAGATAAATAATTGATGGCAGGGATAAAAAATATGATGGAAAAGGTCCAACAAACTTGTTGGATGATACATCTAGGTGCTCAAGCTGATAACAGGACTTGAGTTGATCAGGAAGTCCAAAAGTAAAGTTGTTCTTGCGTAAGACAATGCGTACAATTTTGTTACCAACTTGGGGAAACTTAGGACCAAAAGCATTGTTCTCCAAGTCAAGCACCTGAAGGTTTTCCAAATTGGTAAGATCCGGCACTGCTCTAGAAAATCTGTTGTTGGAGAGTGCAAGGACTCTGAGGTTTTCCAAACTCCTAACCGAATCTGGCAAAGAACCACTGAAAAGATTGTTCTTCACACTCAAAACTGTCAAAGCAGAAAGTGAACTCAACACTTCAGGGATTCTGCCATCGAACATATTGCCATCAACAATGAGGGCTTGGAGACCTGTCATTGAAAAGATACCTTCTGGTATGGGACCATGGAAGAAATTTGAGCTCACATCAAGTATTTCCAGTAACGATAAGTGAGAAAGTGCATTCGGCAGCCGCCCCCATAAACCAGCAGATACCAGTTTGAGGACTTTCAGATCAGGAAGTTTAACAAGTGCATTTACTAGTGAATCTATAGAAAAGTTCTCAGGGAGCTGCGTGGTTTTATTCCCAATAATATGCAGCTGTGTTATACTTTCCTCATAGCAGACTACAGTAAGAATTGAACTTGGTTCTAAATTGCAGAAATCAGTTTCATTTTTTCTACTACTCCAGACCTGGGGAAGATTCAAAAGGTGTTGAATCCTCAAAAGTGTTTGTGCTTGAGATTCTTGAAGTTGTTCTGAGTAGGTGATTGAGATTGAAAGCACAAAAAGTATAAACAATCCCCTGAAGCTTAATCTTATTCCCATCATGTAAACTAACAGAATGGCGAAAAACTGAAGACAAAACTCAGTTCCACATGAAAACCTTCCAACTCTTTGCAGCTCAACTGTAGCAAGTGAACAAAAGGGTAGCCCTGATCAAAGCAATTTCAAAGAAAACTATACAGAGAAAATAGCCAGATGAACGAAAAATGTCATAGATGAATGCTGAAATGATCAAATATGCACATTTAGAACTAAACAGCAACTTTCTAAAAGTTTGTTCTAACTACTAATGTAAATGCTAATGGAAAGCTTACCAGATAAACTCCAACCACATTGAACAGTATAGACTAGCCTCTCAATGTACTTGGTGAGAAGATAGCCTTCAAATGAAGAAATAAGAAGTCTTTATTTTTACCAACTTCTTAAGTATCTTCAAAACTAAGGCTACATAATCAGCATCAAAATCCTTCAAATTAACCTACCCTTTTATGATTTTATCCACAAAATTGGTCAAAAAATCACAATCACCCATTCAAAATTTCAAATTCTTGAACATTTCTTCATCCCTTCAGTCCTAAAACAAGCAATAAATGTCCTCTGCTCATATAGAGACAAAAATAGAAAAGCCTCTGACTTTAATATGAACAAAGGATTCATGTGGAGAAGATTTATCAGACAAACAAACTGATAAAAGCCCAGATGAAGACATGGAACTTTATGCAAAATTCTTTGGCACACTAGTACACTTTTAAATGTCATTATTACAATCCAGAAACCGACAATTTCAACCCACGGGATGTGGACACCAATTGTTGCTGAATTATATTGAAGCTTTTTGGATGTTGTTTTAGGCCCCCTCCCACCTTTAGGCTTTTAGGCCTCTCTTCCAGTTGAATAGATTCGACCCATGAATCAGTTTAAAAAAGAAAAGCAATCAAAACCCAACAAAGAAAAAAAGAAAAGAAAAAGAAATCTAAGGTCGAGAGAAAAGAAAGATGCTTGTGGGAAGATAGACACTTTATTCGTTCTGTTTCTATGGTGTTGGACATCCTCTGCTACTTCTGCATGGATACTTTTAACGAGTGAGATGAGTGGACACATACACATTTTTTGTTTTTTTGTTTTTTTTTTTTTTTTTACTTTTCTCATTTGATTTAGATTGTTATTATTTTATTTTATCACATTTGCAAGTAGATTTTACTTTCACTTTTCGTCTTTTTAATTTTTTTTTATCCTTTCGCTTTGGGGCCGCAATCCTGCATTGCTTATTAACACATTTCAACTTTAAGTCATGATTTTATGGACTAGGATTTTCTTTGTGGCTTTTGAGAATCGCGAATTTCTTTCTATCGAATTGCTGTTGGAGTGCTTACCAAGGTTTTCAAATAGCAATGCGTGGATACACCGAATGGAGAAAATTGTAGATATTTTGAGTAATAATAAATTTATCAATATAGTCACGAACTATTGTTATTATTATTATTTTTTAAGAAACATTCATTTCATAAAAAAGACCAATTACAATACATTATCGATCCGAAGGCACATTTTAGCAAGTCTATGCGCTATATTTCTATTTACGTTAATAACATTCTTCGACAAAGTAGTTCTAGGCATTATGTCTACAATATCATCTACCAAGGAAACTAACACAGCTGGGCAAGACTTCCTTCCAAGGATGTAATCTACTATATTCTGATTGTTGGATTGAAGCTTACAGTCCTGCAGTCTAAGGTTTGATGCTGCTTAAAGACCCATAAGACAGGCGCATCCCTCTGCATCTTCTGCAGATATTGAGTGGAAACGACTCATCCTAGAATCAACCCTGGTTAGAAATAATCTCCCACGCACCAGCCCCTTCATTAGTAGGCTCTTTGAAAGCCCCATCTGTTCTAATGTAAAAGGATCCTCTCATCTGGCTACACATGTTCACTACATCCTTCTTTTGACAAGGGGGTATAGGCTTTTCCCTATGTGTGAATCGTGATTTGTAGAAGGTTTGCCAATCTGAGACAACCATAGCTTGCACTCGATGTGGCTCAATCAGCTGACCCTCTCATATTGCCTTGTTTCTTGTGATCTATATTTGCCAAAAAATGAAGAAGGAGAGTTGTACGAACTCCTTATCTGGGGCTGTCTCCAACCACGTTTCCATCCAACTTGTCAACGAAGTTCTTGTACCCCTGTCAAAATCAAAGCCTAAAGAACACAGCTTCCAAACTCTCTCGGAATGCTATCTAAGAAAATGTATTTTGTATTTTCCTCATGTACTCTACATCTATTACATATCGTCGATGATACGACCTTCGCCGACGTAAAGCTGTGTTTGACGGGAGTGCATGGTTTACAGTACTCTACATTAGCCACTGAATCTTCGTCAGGACCTTTATTGACCAGAAACACTTCCAAGCCTGTGAGTTCATTTTCTCCGAAGGAGGCTGATTTTGGATCTGGGTTTGTCGGGTTTCATGGTAACCACTCTTCACTGTGTAAACTCCCATAGGAGCTTTTGACCAAATTCTTCGGTCCACTGACAAAGACTGGCCTTTTGGAATATGTATTCTCAGTATTTTTGCTGCTGCATCTGGTGGAAAAATGGACCTGACCATTGATTCCCTCCATTCTCTACTATGATCCCATAGATCTCTCACTCTTAATCCCTCCAGTTCTTGCAAGAGGGGGACTCCACATAATGGGTTTCTTGAGTCTGGGATCCAATCATCTTGAATATGGATGACTTCTCCATTGCGCACTTGCCATTTTAGACCTGCCTTGAGCAGATCCCTTCCCCATAATATACTACACCACCCCATGATGTGGACTTTGGTGTTGGGCATTCCAAAAAGTCCCTGCGTTTTGCATACTTTGCCAAAAAAAATACGAAAAGAGTGAATGCTTATTTACCACCATGCCCCATGCCATTTTTGCAAACAGAGCTTGATTCATTTCCTATGCTGCTCTGAAACCCAAACAAGCTTTCCAATGGATCCCCCTACCCTCTTTGTCCACATTCCAAATAAATCTAGCCACCACTTGATCAATTTGTTTTGTGACACCTTGCAGGAGTTTGAAGGCACCCAGCATATATACTGGGAGAGTAGCTAGGGAGTGCTTCGCAAGAGTTACCCTGCCTGACATAGATAGAATTTTATTCTTCCATCTACTTAGTTTCTTCTTCATTCTCTCTACAATGTCCCCAAACAGGAGCGACTTCTTTTTCATGAAATCCAAGGACAATCCCGAGTATTGCTGCTGACAGCTTCTAATTGGGATCCTGGGCCACGAAGACATCGATTCCCTAAAAGCGAGACCAGTACTCGGGCTTACCAGGATATAAGATTTATCACAACTGATCCTCTTTCCTGACGCCCGAACATACTGGTCCAAAATACTCTCGAGAGCTCTAACATTTCGTCGTGTGGCTTCCATAAAGATTAGACAGTCATCCGCATACATCAATTGTGTCAGCCTGTGAGTGGTGTCCAAATTTTGATCCCAAAGCCCCTCTCGTTTCGATTTAAGTTCAACAAGGCCAAGGATAAGACTTGTTGACAGATGATGAAAACATACGGTGATATGGGACACCCTTGCCGAAGGCCTCTCATTGGAGCAAAGTAATCCAACTGGTGGCCATTCACACACGTCGAGAATGTGACTGTTGTAACACACTTTAAAACAAGGCCAACAAAAGGTATTGGAAAACCCAATCTGGCCATTACCTGTTGTAGAAAAGACCACGACACTATCATACGCCTTACTCATGTCAATTTTCAAGGCAGCCACTCTGTGTTTACCTTTTTTCTTTTTCCTGATGAACTCAATGGCCTCACGTGCGAATAAAATATTCTCTCCTATGTACCATCCTGGCACAAAACTATTCTACCCTTCCGATATCATATCAGGCAAGCTTTTAAGCCTATTTGCTAGAACTTTCGCAATAACTTTATATTTCACGTTACTGAGGCTAATGGGGCGAAAGTCAACAGGGCACTGAGATTTACCTTTTTTGGGATGAAAATCACCTTCGTCTGATTCTACCCTGACTCCATGAATGATGGTTTAGGATTCGCAAGCAGGCTTGTATCACATCTTCCTTAACTATGCTCCAGTATTTCTGATAAAACCCAGCGGGGATGCCATCCAGACTGGAGCTTTCCAAGGTGTCATATTCTTAACCCCTAATTCAATTTCCTTGGCTGAGAAATCTGCACTTAGATCCTGGTACTGTTCTCATGTAATGACCTCTCGAATCATGTCAAGGAGGGATGGTGGTTCATCCCAAAAAACATTATCATTATCCAGCTGCTCATCGGGTGCTATCAGCATCGCCTGAAAATGCTCTAGCATCATCTCCTGTATTCGCTCTTGATCATAGCTCCATTCCTCTATTGGCTCCAATAATGTGCTAATCCAATTTCTTTCTTTCCTTCTAGTGGTCCATGTGTGAAAGAACTTTGTGATCTTGTCTCCCTCTTGGTACCACTTCACCTTGGCGCATTTAGGGCTGCTAATTCAGTCGATTCGGATGAAATATATTCGGATAATTCAGTTTTTTTCATTGACTTTCACCCACGCAAAACCGAACCGATATTTCACCTCTCTCGAATCGAACCCGACCGATGAAACAATCGGGGACATTGGGTTGGGGGCCGTTTAACCCGGAAAAAAAAAAACAAAGGCCAAATAGGCCATAGATTCAGGGCAACAATTCCATTGCAATTTTCTCCTAGACATCAAGTTACAGTTCACCATCATCAAAGGGAAAGCTTGTTGTTATGGCCGTACAATTTAGAAAACAAGAAGCATACACAACTCACTACCCCAGTTCCACTATGCTTTCAAACTTTTGTCAACTCTATATTTTCTTAGAAAGTTTTTTCACACTAAGAATAAGAATAGCATTCAAGGCCAAAACCCATTACAGCCTACGATTCTCTAGGTAAACCCACATAACAGTTTTGGAGAATGGAAGTAAACATTCCAAAATAAACCCAAAAGCAGTACTTAACCTGTTGTACTTAACAAAAATACTTAATTGTCCTAGGACCTACAATACTTCATTGTGTACTAATGCATTAAAGGTAAAATCACAAGTGAAATGACAAACGACTTAGGATTTGTTAGATTTTGACTTCTTTCTTTACCATGGGCACTCGGCATCCAACAAGACGAGCTCAGCTATAGTCTCTCCAAGCCCATCATTCTTTTTCTTCAAAGCACGTGCAGATTTTAGTCTGGCATTGCACCTTCTCTTAATGGGAGCACTAATGTTTTTGCTTGAGCTTTTCTTCTTTTTTCATTATGTTCGACACTGATGGTTTCTTAGATGAAATTATGACCTACCACACAAGGAACATAGAAATGAGTTATTCAGTATTTGCACAGGAATTGAATGGAAAAAGTACCAGAAAACCAATCTGAAAATACAGTACTTGTGCATTAACAGCTGAAGTTTGTCCCATTTTTTGATGAGTCGGAGTTTCCTCACCAGTTGCATGTTCCACGTTCCCCATGTTCTTATCAAATGCACAACCCTCTGAACTTTTAACACCCTACATCAAGTGAAGTTGTGTCAATACTTTTCATTTCATAGTTGCACCAATAATAATAGCAAAACACTAAATAAACTCCACTACTTCGTACTTGCGGAACTTCAGATGTATTTTGCAAGTTGTTATCATTAGGAGTGCCCTCCACAATTGGGACATCCTATAGAAAATAGGAAGTAAATTAAGATTTTTAAAAAAATTAATAAATAAATTAGTATAAGAATAGTAATAACAAAACTATGGCCATCGGAGTTTGTTGATAATACTACCAACAGCAGTATGAAAATCACCATCTAAGTTGGTACAATCTGACGCAACAAGTCCTTTGTCAGCAGCACTTTGGATTTCTTTTGGCAATCAGACTGCAAAAAAGTGGAAAAAAATTGAAACCCCAAATTTGTAATCCTTTGTACAATATATAAATACAAAAATGAACCCCATTTATTAAGGATTTTACCTCAAATTCTGGGCAATCTACTTTAGTATGACCATATTGCGGGCAATAATCATACTTCACAAAATTCTGAGGTCAGTGATCAGTACAGTGGCCAAATTCGTTGTGCCAACTACAGTACGGGGAGTTGCATCAAACTGTAGAAAATCATCCTCAACTAGACTTTCATGTGGAGCAGTTGGTGTGTTTAGCACCTGGAAGGCAAACAAACGAAATATATTTATATATATGTAATATTAAACTGATGTTGTAACAAAAACATAAAGGGTCAAATGTTATTCACATCACCTTGTCAATCACAATGACATCATCCACCACTAGATGTTCAGGTTGTTGCACACCAACGTAGTTGTATTATTTGCTGCTTCAATGTTTTCTGGTCCAACAGTTTGCATATCACCACCACCCTCCGTGTCTATGTTGTTAGCTTGCATCCAAACACAAAAATCCATAACTTCGCAAGTGCTGGCTGTGTGGCCATATTGATCACAACACTTACAAAAGTGGCGGTATTTCAGCATGTGGGCCTCCTGCAGCCATGTTTTCCTGTGCTTCTCTTATTTCTTGCAGCTGTAACACCAACACAGTCATCATCAAACTGGGAAAAGCATCACTGTTCTCAAACAAAACCGTAAACCCTATGAAATTGAAAACACTTGGGATTCAAAAGAGTTGTTACCCGTCTTGCCTCTGTTGCCCTAGAATTCTCTCGTCTCTTCTATAATGCTGGGCAGATTGATACAAAGTGTCCTGTGCATTTGCAATATACACAGTAGGAGTTTGGCGTTGGTTTCGGACCCCTCCTCTTCTTTTGACCAATGGTTGGTTCGACATTGCTAGTAGTATTTGTAGCCTTTGGAGGCCTGCCTTTCTTTTTTGGCTGAGGCGGATCAACTGGTGCCTGTCACATCACCAATGAAAATATTTTTAAAAAATTACAGAAATTAACACCAAATCTAAATTAATTTTCAAAAGCTGGAAAAATAAAATACACACCTTTGCCTTGATTGTTGACAATGGGATCCCAGCCTTTCTAGCTTCTACCAATCTAGGGAATGTCTTTTTACTGTGACCACCCCAACAATAACCACATTTATTTTTTCCGAGACCAACCTTCATGCTTGCTTTCAGTGAACCCTTTTTGTTGGTCTTCAGAGTCACAACAGCTTTTTTGTTTCTACTATTCTTTGGCCTTCCAAGTTGAACTCTGAAAACTAGTGGCAAAATGGGAGGGTCTGTTCACTTTGGTCAGTACTTACGCCCATTGATTAGATAGATTACGGGTTCATATGCCTTCAGGTACTTGTCCTTCTTGTACCAATCACCCACATAGTTTTCTACCACATCATTCTTATCCCACATTGCACAGATTGTATGTGGACAAGGAAGACCTGTCAATTGCATTTTCTGCAGGCACAAGTCCGATTATCCAGATCTACACACACATGTTCTAAATGATTCCTCACCTCATGCTTTCCATTTTTAGCATCTTTGCAGCTAATCCTGTGGCTCTATCCTTGTATGTCTCAAACCTTTTAAAAATCTTTGGACCAATAACAGCAAAGTTTTTAGTGATCCAGTCCCTCTTCTTCTTGTTCCTCTTCATCAGATATAGTCTCACCCACTCAAACATACCAATAATGGGTAGCCTTCTTGCATTAAGTAGGGTTCTATTAAAACCCTCACAAATATTGTTGACCAGCATGTCCCATTCAGTGCTACTCTAAAAGTGGGCTCTTGAACAAGAACTAGGCTCCAATTTCTTCAACCACACCTTCATTGATAGGGGCAGAACCACCTTGGGGACTGGGGGGTCTGGAGCCCTCCCCCCCCCTCTGGCCGGCCGGAGAAACCATAAGGTTACCTCTGGCCAGAGACCAAGGTAGTGCCATTTTCTCTTTCAGCCCCCCAGATTTGGAGATCGACGAGAGCCTTTAGAATTATGGAATCCCAACCACAAATTATTGATTGTTGAATAATCAAATTTCATCGTCGGCGGTAGCAAGTTGCAGCGGCGACTGCTTCAGCGAAGGAGAAGATGGATAGATTCAGACTTTTAAATTTATGTAATTAATCCCCAGGCTTTAAACAAATGTCACAAAGCACCCAAAACAACTTAAAACTCACTTTTCTGACTTTTTCTTACAAGTTTGTCCCCATAACCTTCTTGAAACTTATAATTGGCCCCCAAAACTAAGTATTTATGCATTTAAGACATTGGTAAACAAGTTTGCTAACTTTCACTAATACTATTATACTGTTCTCTAAATCTTACTCTAAGTTTTAACAGTATTATAGTTGGTACCAAATAGAATATTAGGTTATCTGTCTTGTAATCTGAATTTTATGTTTGTTAGTGTGAAGGTCATGAATAAATATTGTTAAAACTATTCCAAAAACGTTTTATATAAAAGCTGCATGTACTTCTTAACTTATTTAGTTCAAAGTTAATTTTCTCGCTATATTGGCTTGTGAACAGCCAGCCCCCCCCGGATGTTTTAAGCTGGTTCCACCACTGTTCATTGTAATCCTTCAGTTCATCCATCAAACTTATAAACTCTCTTACTGTTGTGGCCTTGGCTATTTCAAACATTTTTGCTTCATCACCAAACTAGGGAACTCCTTCCTGAAATTGTTCCACAAGTGCTGGACACAATGTTGATGTGATACTTTATTCAGCACTTTATTTACAGCATTCGTCAGTCCCTGAAACATGCCAAGACAGAAAACTCTGTTGTAATCACACATATAATAACAGAAAATGTAATGAAAGACGGCATATTCTAAAAAAGATAAATAGAAAAGAGCATCTAAATAAACAAAATGAGCCATTACCTTTTGTCTGTCTGAAATGATAACCCTTTCTGGGGAGTTTTCGATACCCAAATCTTCAATAAGCTAAGACAGAAACCATGTCCTGCTCGATTCATTTTCAGTCTCAACTGCTGCAAATGCTACTAGAAAGATGTTGTTTGTGTTGTAACCCACTAGTTTCAGCAGCTGCCCCTTATATTGAGTCTTAAAATGTACCATCAACCCACCCCCGATGATTTTCCTACACCCTTCCTTCAACCCTTTCTTGCTGGCTGCATAACACACATACATCCTCATAAACCTATTGGGATCATCATCCTCACATATGACCTGAATTGGGGTCCCTAGGTTTGCCCTTCTAACTTCTTCCATGTAACACTCTAAATTGGCATATTGTTTTGTGATCTTCCCCCTAACCTTTTCAAGAGCTTTTCTCTTTGCATTCCACGCTTGCGTCTGAGAAATAGTCAGCTTTGCTCATTCAAAACCCTAAACTGCAGGTGACTTGCACTGATGTTCGGATCATCTGCAAAATCAGCTACATAACAATCCAAAACTATGTCTGAATTCACATTTCTTGTTGTTGACTCCTCCACAGGTGTGCTTGGTGTTCACTGTCTTAATTTCAAATGTAGGATTATCTTCTTCCTCAACCTTCACTCCATAAACCTTCCAGTTGCAATTCTCACAGTATCCCCTCACAAATTTCTTATCATTTTTCTGAAGATTGATAGTTCTCCTGTCCTTTATTCCATGTTGTCTTAAAGCTGCCAACAAAATCCACTTGGTTGCAAATTTCTGATGTAAATGAAACTTCGGGTTTTCCATGTCTTTCTATGGGACAAACACGAGGTCTTTCTGTTCATGGCGTTCACTATATTTATCTTCATCAGTTCCAACTGAGTTGTGCAGGTCATCATTAGACCCGCAATCATCATCACTTTCATTCTCCCCCCTACCAGCTCCCACAACAACATCTTCATGCCGTACAAACTGTGATTCACTTCTATATGAACACCATGTTGTGGATTCGACCCTTTCATCCACATATTTCTTGAAATCCTCATCATCATCAGTCATCTCATATTCATTGTCAACATAGTCTTCATTCACTATCTTATCATCAGACTCATCACTACTATCCACCTATTTTCAACTGGTGCCCTTTTCATGAGTGGATCATACTCACTTGAACCTATCCTGAATACTTCTACCAACCCATTGGGATCCTTCATCTCTATAAGTCTACCCATATCTTCCTCATTTTCAATCCTTCTAAATCTGGGAGTGCCCACCTCATCTAGCGCAAGAAAGAACAATTTATGTGGCCTACCATGCCGAGTCTTGTCAACAAGCTTATACAAACCTTCAATAGTGAGCAACTCATAATTTACATTATCAAAATATTCAACCTCGCCCTCCACATACTTGTAAGCACGCTGCAGAATGAAACCACCACTATGCCACGATTTTACTGTTACCATTTTCGATCCCTCAACTACAGCACCCAAAAAGAAAAAAAAAATAAACAAATAAGAATTCCTTCTACTGTTTAGTTGTGAAAAAACTTAACTACATACAAAAACTGAAGTTAAAAAATTAGATATGGAAAAATGAAATTCTGATTTTCTGACACATTCTGACAACATTTGTACTTATTAATAAGTATGAAATTCAACTTTCAAATTCAAAGTCAAAATTCAAAACTCAAATTCAAATTTTAAAGCACAAAACCCTAATTGAATATGACATCACAACACCCTGACCATGGATAAGATGACGTCATAACCTTGGACTTTTTTCCAATTTGTTCTTTGATTCCCAGAATAGATTTGTAAGAAAAACCCTTAAACAATTCATTAAAAAATACCCAGATGTAAAGTTATGAACAAATTCTCATAAAAAGCCAAAAAAATTGTTTAAAACAATATCACTCCCCCCATACCCCATGAACAATTTTTTTATTCTTTGACAACCAGATTTCCATAAAAGGTTCGTCAAACCCACAAACTTTCAATAAAAAAAATAGATCCACATAGAGACGAAGGCTTCTGAAACCTGAAAAAGATTTGGAGTTGGAATCGGAAAAACACACAACTCTAGATCTAGGAATTGTGAGTCGGGACCGTCCAAGAAACACACGACCCAGAGACCCACAACTCTAGATGTACGAACCAGGTTTTGGTCCAGTCAAAATTTCCAAATAAAAATGAACACACAGATCTATGAATCAAGAACTTACCACATGCAGGAGCTTCATTTTCGTACTCATCCAGAGAATTGAAATCCACGCCTCTCCACATCTTGAGATGAAGAAGCAACCTATCCGAAACTTAAATCCTATGCATGACTCACAAAACCCTAATTTTAACCAACTTCGTTTCCCCTTTCGCCTTTTCAATATTGTGAACCCTAATTTTCTCAACCTTATTGTCTCCGTTGTTTCTGTTTTTTCCTCTGAACTTTGACGCAAAAAGAAAAAAAAATGTCAAGTGTTTTGGGAGTCAAAGGGGGTAATAGAAAAAAGGCACAGGCGGGGCACGTGAGCGGGCTGGGGCGGGTTACGTTGTGAAAAGAGAAAAATACCCCTCTGACCTTATCTAAAAGTCACGTGAAACGCATGCCTCCGAGAGAATGTAAACAGTTCCTGGAGGAAAAAGAGGATTTTGACAAAAACTCAACTTATGGTATATAATAAAGACATTTTGAACTTGAGATATATAGTAAGGATGAAACCTCAACTTATGATATTTTTTGGATAATTTAACTACTCAGATTCACTGAAATTACTTTTGGTTATCTCCTTATTTTTTTTCGTAAAAAACCAAAAATGGAATCCATCCATGAAGAAGCTGAGTTTGATATGGATCTTGAGGTTAACGGCTGTGAGACTGATGTTGATGATGACTTAATTAAAAATGAAAATTCAGAAATTTTGGATCTTGGTTATTGAAAATTTGAAATTTTTAGTTTTTGTAAATTTAGAAATTTTTTAACAGTTTATAGCAAGTCAAGTCACGGGTGATCTGAATTTTTTTAGGCCGGGTCAGCGTTGAGAAAAATAACTTGTTTATTTATTCAATTAAGGTTCGGGTTGGTTGTACTTTTTTCAAGTTCGGGTTCAACCCGAAACGTCAACCTGAACCCAACATGGATTGTTAGCACTAGCACTTGCTCATGAAAATATTAGACTAAGGTAGTGAGGTACGAAAGTATGAACATTGCCTTTGCAACTTATAATTCTGAAGTGTTTAATGTACTTTAATTAATTCCTATAGACACGACATTAGTTATAGGGTTAATTTGAGTAAGAGAATTACAGCACGACGATACATAATTCTTAATTAGGTGAATTTTTGTGAGATTAATGAAAATCCAAAGTCACATATCTAATGATTTAGTTAAGCTAGTTGGTCGGTTGGTGAACCCTTTGCCTTATAAGTTTTTTCTATTTAATTTAATTTTTTTGAAGAGAATCTTGGCGGTAACTACATAGCGGGAGGAGACCGGATTTCTTCTATTTTATTGATTAGATTTTTAGTTAGTTTAACTTATTAGTTTTAGGTTTATTTTAGTTTAAAATTGATATTATTATTTGTCTAAATAATAAACGGAAGTAGTTTTGGCCTGGTAATTGATTTCTTTCTACTTGGGATTGACCCTACTTTCTGTTTTACTACTAGTAATTGTATTAAGTAAGTAATTAATATTTGACTAGTGTGACCAGTCGTCAACAGTATAGCCACATGATGCCACCTGATTTTCCAACGCTCGATCCCTATATTGATCCCTTGAACGAGAATGTTCTTGTCATAATGATCCTCAGAGATAGATATGGATTATGGTTCTACTCTGACTAAAGAGCCTCCTAACAATAACAAAATCCTTCAATTGTCAAATCTCTACTCCAGATGAAGAGTCAGATTGATCAAATACTATTACTATTTCTTTCATTCATTTGCTTATATAGTATGATTGAGTATTAGTTTAGATTCTTTCAATATTTCGTAGAAGAGGTTATTGAATATTTGCAATTGATGCTAATCATGGTTTTCATGGATTGCTGCTTTTCGTTCACCTTTTTTCTTCTTTTCAATTGAATTGATCGTAAAAGAGAGAGAGGGTGGGTGGGGGAGGGGGTGGGAAAGGGGATGTTATGGGTTGACTTGCCTATTAAACGGGGTGTTGACATGTTGGTTATATTTTCAAACTGGGGTAATCATTGTAAGATCAAACCAAGAGAGAGAAATTTAACTACCCAAAACTTTTATAGGGAAGAAAAAAATATCAACGATTTAAGAATATGATTTTTCATTTAAAAAAATAGACAAATAGCAAATTCTATTTATATTTGGAGAACGTCATGTTATGAGGAAAATGGACTAGTTTAGGACAAAAGTATTTTGAAAATTGACTAAAACACAAAACGTTATTTCCAAGAGGATCTAATTTCGCCATTTTAGCTCTCCAAATAAAATAAGTTTTTTTACTAGTAGAAATTTGTTGCATTACTCTGAGTGACTCTCACCTCAAGTACTCAAGTATCACATTTTGACCGTTACTCTTATTTTATTTTTTTATTTTTTTATTTTTATTTTTTTGCATGCTCTAAGGATCATGTTCATTTTACAAACATTATATACATTTGAAGACTTGTCTTTTAAAATGATGTAATATGAAATGACTCAGGCTTTAAAACCTCCTCAAGCTGGTCGAGCATAGTTTTTATTAATTATTCTAAAACCTCTATGTATGAAATCAAGACAGAAAACTTTTCGTGAATTAGATTTTGGTTTACAATATATCAATATTTGCATTATTGGTAAATTTTTATTTAGTGTAGAAACACTTGTTGTAGACATTACAAGAGAAATATTTTGCAGTAGTTATAAATCGTATGTTTGTCAAGGTGATTGTTTAAAAATGTTAAGATAGTTAGCTTACGAAAACCTCCAGAGAGTAGAGAGTGGCAACATCGTCATATTTGGCTTTTTCGAATTCTAGTGTTGTTATATGACATGCTTGTATGAAAATTTTGAAAAAAAAAAAGAACAAGAAATTAAGAGTTATGCTCGAGGTGAAGCGTACCAAATATGAGACCTTGAATATGTGCAAATATGACAATAAATTAGTATGTCTGTATGTGATCCTTCATTTCTTCTGTCTTCAATTATTTATTTTACAATTCTTTTTCAAAATACACTTTGAAATTGTTGTCTTCAATTATTTATTTTCTAGTTCTCTCTCTTTTTTCGTTTTTAATTTATCTTTCCTAAATTTTTGCCTTGGAACATATATCATGTCTGAAGGATTGGTTCGATATAAAACTGGAAAATGTCAAAAAAATTTCCTTTTAATTGGTCAATGGGGTAAAATGTTTAGGATTTTCATGGGAAGTTATCAAAGGGATACAATCGTATGCGACTTTTCTTCGAAGTTGTTCGTAGGACCAAATACAAGATTTCAGAGGTTCACTTGATATAAATTTACTAGAAGATTTTTTTTTTCGTAGTTCCAAATGATTCTTTCTTCAACAACTGACTCCTCAACATTACACACTACAGAACTAATGAAAACAAAGATTGTAATATTGTGATAAAAGAACCAAAGATTATTGGTCAGGCAGACCTTGTAAAATATATATATATATATATATATATATATATATATATATATAAAGAGGAATTAATGAGGACAAAACCCCCTGAGTTATGTCCCATAGATAATTTCCCTCCCGAGGTTTTCAATGAGGACTAATACACCCCCACCCCCTCTTGATTGATGATCAACAGACAATTCGACTCTCCAACGGTCAAACAATGGTCAAATTCGAAGACAAGAAATAAAATACTCAAGTGAAGAAAAAATGCCCCTCATTGAATAAAGTGACTTTTTTTCTTTACAATAAGCTTCCATCATCCACTCATTAGAAATCCTCCTTATTTTGACCAAACTGTTGGATTGACAGTACATTTCTCCTCGGCAAACTACATTTTATCTATAAGTTAATAATTGCTTCTCGTAGGTTTCAAATAATGTTTGAAGGTGAAAAAAATGGCAATTCCCAATTTGGGTTTTTTAGTTTACGCTGAAACTCGCCTTTGAATTTTTGAATCCTTATTTTCTTTTTCATACGTCACGACATCACTTTGAGAAAACCCAATTTGTTCTTTCTTCTTCTTCTTCTTCTTTTTTTTTTTTTTTTGGGAATTTGTAGCTGAAATACTTTCAAATCATCCAATCATGCTAATTTATGCAAAAACTAGTTGAATTAGCTCGGTTGAACTTTTTTGTCTATGTAGTCCACTTGGTTATTACAAATTTCATACATCTATGGTGGTGCTCCAGGATTTTGTCTGTAACTTATCACTAGACTTTTCTAAGTCCGTCAAGGCTAAATATGGTTTTTACAATTGTTAGAAAATGAAGAAGAATATGGTCCTTATTTGGGGACTTTTGTTCGCCGCGGCACTACAAACGGCGAGAGTGGAAAGTAGGTTGTTCTTGACGGCAGCAGGATTTGGTGATGCTATCATGCATCGTCCCCAATTGAAAATGAGAATAAAATTAACGATCGTGATGAATTGAATGAAAATAATGTGATTTTTCGTATAATTTTGTAGAATAAGTTGAAACTATTTTCGTGTGTGAAATTCAGTGTTTTAATTTTACACTTCAACGGTTAGAGCAAGTTTTGTAAATCATAAGAAATATTTATGGTTAATAAAGGATTAATGCTGATTTTGTAGAAAAATATATAGTGATAGTTGTGTTGGTTTTGAAATAGGATGAAAGAATAAGCCATGGTGAGAATTGAAAATTATAATAAGAGTTAGGGATATATTAGTAATTGCATCTTATCACAATTTCCATTAAAAAAAATTGTTGGAATCACTGTGGGTTTTACATACTTTCACCACTTTGGACCGTTGAATTCAAGTTTATCGTGGTCAAGGGGGTATTAGTCCTTATAGAAAATCTCGGAGAGGTAATAGTCTATGGGTCATAACTCAGGGGGAGATTTTGTCCTTATAAAAAAAAATTTTAAAAAAATACACCATTTGTCCACAAATTTTTGCCCATTTTGGATTTCATCTTTTGTCCCATTTGAACTAAAAATGAATATCTAAAATGGATAATCGTTTCGGTACAGAAAGCTACTATGTTCACGTTGAGATGTTAGTTTTTAAAGAAAGAATAGAAAAGTTAATGGATGGAATTAATTTTTGAGTCTGGAGATTTCAAGGACTTTGGTTTTAAGAAGTAATACCATTTTTTCACTTACAGATGGGGTAGAAAGGGTGGCCAACTCCGATCCGATTGATCCTCAAAAAACAAAAAAATTTAAGGTTCAAAGGGATTAAAGTAATTTGTCTGGTTTAGGGCAGTGTATAAGAGGAGGCCGAATTAGGAGAGCAGATAAATAGATGTCTCGAAATGAAAATCAATAATAAGAAGTGCATTCAACTCAAACCTAATTCTACCTCACCAATAAAAGTGCATTAGAAACGTTCAATTATGAGAAAAAAAAAATCTTCATAACATACTCTAGATCTATGATTAAAAAATCATGAAATTTTCATCAAAACCTATCACCACATATTCAAAGGTTGACATCATGGTTTCTAATGATATCATTAACCGAAAGGAAATTGTCTTGTTGGGTTCCGAGTAGGTGTTCTTGCCTTGATTTTTAGAATTCATCCATATGTCAATTCAACATGCGATGATAAATAGGAAAATGGCAGTTCAACTGTCTTCTTATCCATTTTTTAAAATGGAAACTTTGTTTTCTCAATCAGCATGGCCTTGATATCACTAACCTAAAAGGAATGACAATATAGTATCAAACTTTTATGGTGAGAGTGACCTTATATTCGATTACATATAAAAAAGTTTGGGAGTTGTTGTGAATTCACATGGTAGCGTTCAGAAGTCATGTTGTATTTACTTGTACATCAACAGATCCAGCTCTGATATTATCTCCAATCTTGAAAAAAATTTTGAATTGAATAAAACTCTCACTAAATATATGATTTTTATATAGGAGTGGCAGCCATGCATCCACGCATAGGGATCAATTTAGAAGAAAAAGGAACCCAACACGGCGGAGGCAACAAGTCCAGCTGCATAGGTAGAGGCGGCCTCAAGAGTGGTTGATCCACTCTTTGGTGCCTCAGCTGGGCTGAGAGGGGCAAAAGTTCCCTCAGAAACTGGTCCTCCAGCTGGTGCAGCCCCAAAGGATTCGCCATCGGTGGGGCCAACAACATTGTTGTCAGGTGCCTCGACAACTGGATCCGCAATTGGACTGACAGCATCGGTACTTGCCGAGACTACGCCGACAACGGCGAAGAGAACTAGGCCAAGAACAACCACCAACTGACGAGGAGCCATAGTTTGAAAGGAAACTTTTGAGTTTTTTAAGGGATTTTGGGTAACGTGATGATATGATATGCAGCTAATTTTTACCTTAAAAAGCACTGCAATGAAAATAATGGGATGGAAAGGGTGTTAATATAGAGGAAAGAGAAGGCTGAAAATGAAACCAGGGAAGGGAAAAAATATTTCGTAGAACGTAAATTTTGGGTGAGATACTGTTCTTAGGATTTGCTAACCATGAAAAAAGAAATGGTTATGCATAATTTCAGGTAAGGTTTTCTACATTGTCCATCAGTCTCTACAGAAATGGATGGGTTTAAACATAGTTTACTAATTGGACCCCCCCCCCACAGGGAAATGCAAAGAAAATTTGGAGATAGAATCAACTAATTTTAAAGAGACAGAGAGGGATTTGACCTTTTTCAACCTTATTTGTGCTACACATTCGAGAAAATGTCTTTTAAAGTAGATGTTGTACTTAGCCCTACAACTACTCCCACTATCACGATAGATCTTGTAGTAAACTCAAAAAACTCAAAAATTCCCAATATCAGAAATCTAATAATAAAATAGTGACTATTCGATCACAGCTTTGAACTCTATTAGGATCCATGGGATTTAGAGATTCGAGGGCTTGATTGATCAGGCAATTTTTATACATAATTTATAACTGCACTTTGAACATCTTCAATGTGTTTCTTTGGTTCAAGGATTGCTAAAGTAAATTTAAGTTAACATCATATAGAATAAAAAAATATACCAAATATCCACAACATATCTTCTAATGCTCCCATCTAACTAGTTTTTCTAATCAACCACTCTTAGCATCAAATTTAAAAAGTGAACGCGTTGGAACTTTAGCTGGCAAACATATGGATTTTTTCTCAAAAATAGGGGAATGATATAGTGAATGTCTATAATTCCAGTCCCGAATGTGACTCTTTACCCATGATGATAATCACACTTACTAGATGAAATTTTGAATCAAATGTTTCTCCATGTTCTTGACTGAGTCTTTCAATAAGATTTTTACTAACCAGAAAATAAAATAGCAAAAAGAACTCAATGTACTAAGCTCGAGTCATTTAGATTGGTCCTAGAATTTGATTAATAAACATATTTTATTGTTGGAATAAAAAATTATTATAACTAATTTTAAAATATTATCATTAGTGGTGAAGAAACAAAATTTTCATTATTTGTTAAATCTATACATCAAATTCTATTTGTGTGATCTTTGTTTTTTTTTTGGAATGAGACATTCTCACTAATTTTTAATTCTCATAAACAAAATTAAAAAAAAAAGAGATGAGTTTTTTATTTGGAATTTTAAAAAAATGCAATTTACTCTTTGTTAGATTTATACGGTGATAAAAATCATAACCATTCATTTTATGCAAGAAACTGCCACCGGAACCGAAAAGCTACAGGAATAGTGAAATGGGACTAAAAAAGTTATAGACATAAATGTTTGAGACTAATCTCTCCAAATGTTAATGTACGGGATATAAATTTATATTGGACCTAATGTATGGGACCAATGTGAGGGTAATTTACACATACATGATTTTTGGTATAGATACTGAGTTACAATTCTGAATGAAATAAAATTTTCAAAAGAAATGTCATTAGAAAGATCTCGTCGTGTAAATTAATTTGACATATAAAAAGTCTCTTAATTATTTTTTGATAAAATGGTATGCTAAATTCTTTTAGGAAAATTAAAACATTGAAAAAGCATAAAAGTGGGTTTCCTAAAGCTTATGGAAGATACATTGCACGTGCCAGTTTTGTGGACAAAATATGCCTAAATGTGCACGCTGCGGCAGCATTCTTTTGACAATAATAGAAATAGAGTAATGGCACTTTGATTATGAATCCTGTCATTGCTGTGTTTTGTGAAAAATAAAAGATAAGGGATTAACTTTCCCAAGTAATGAGATAACGGCAATGTAGTAATGATAATTCCTGATAACGGTCAAATTGTTACATAAAAGCATTGCAATTTTGCTCTTTAATTAGTTAGAAACTAGGGGTGTTTCTTAGACTTTGTTCATTTTACTTAGCTAGTTTTGTGTTTCTAAATAGGTGAGGACCGGAGTGAACAAATGCTGAAAATGGGGGGCTTATGGAGCAATAATTGGGCTGCTGATTCCAATTTAAAATGAGGACTGAGTTGGTCAAAAAGTAACTCCAAGACACAAGACACATTGGGAGTTAATAAGGGTGTCCCATAATAGAAACTAAAGAGCATGCTTATCCCTTAGAATGAAGAACCAACCACCCACATTGATCAATGTTGTTGCTGATACCACTGCTGGAACAAGAGGAAAGGGCCAGTCAAAATATGATTCAAGACACAATGCATTGGGGTTAATAAAAAATACACAAACATGGTGAGACTCTTGGAAGAAGAACCGGCAACAAGCTCTATAAATGGGGCTGCATTCCAGCAGAAAAACAGACATCAGAGGACATACAACACACAAAACACAATAGAGAGAGAAGAAGAGACCGGAGAGGGGAGAAAACTCCAAAGGAAGGAGAAGTCCAGTAGCAGCAAAAGAGGAGTAACAGACCTCACTCGTCACTCAGGCGAGTGACATGTTGCTCAGCCATCCAGATTTGCTTCTTCTCAATGCTTTCCTTCTTTTCTTGTATTTTCTGTAGTTTATATGTGTAGTTAATTAGATTTCATTCTCTGGAACCTACGTAGTTTAAGTTTGTGAATGCATTCGGATGATTTTGTGTTTTGAAGTTAAAGCTTTCATCTACCTCTTGATTAAATTGGCCATTTGATTGATTGTGCACAGAACTAAGTGAATCCCGAAAGGGTAAACAAGGTTCAGAATCATTTAGCTTCAACTTATGACTTGGAGGTAACAGTCCAAGGTTCTAATTGAGATATGAATATACTTGGTTAGCATAAGCATTCATATAAGGCTTGAAAACTTAATGACTTTATGACTTAATTAATCATTGAAAAATAATTTAATTGAGTTCATAAAGATACCTCTAGGAAAAATCGAAAGTGACTTAGAGATATATAAGTGCCTGAATGAGCATGAATTCATACCAAAAGAGTGCAAGATTACCACTTGAATATATAGGGAAAAGAGAATGAATATCTCAGTTTGTTGAGTCAGTCCCCTGAGTCAGAATTCTCACTTCCGTGATTGAGGTTTCAATTGTCTATTTGTCTTCAGTTCTGCAGAGTCCATTCGTGTGAGTGACGTTGTCTCTCGCGCAAGTGAGTCTGCAATTTTCGTCCTTGTTTGTCCAACTCTTATATTTTTGTTAGTTTTCCGGTTATTTGAAGTTTAACCCGTCCCTGTGGGATCGACCCAACTTATCCTATCTACAGTTTAAGTTGGTAATTTATTTTGGGGGCTTCGACAACCCACCAAAAGTGGCGCCGTTGCCGGGGACGGTGGAAAACTTCTTTTAACCATTTCTTTGTTTTTGTTTCTTTTCTTCTAATTTTCTGATTTGAAAAGAGTGTGCCAACTCTGAAGTTTGATGGCAGATTATCCTTCATATATAGGAAATTCATATGATTGGAATGATAACCAACACTATGCACCTTATAGTAGTTTGAATCCTTGTTATGCAACAAATGATTTTTACTCTTATGAGCAGGATTGCAACTACTGTACTTCACCAATGTCTTCTTGCTATGAGGACAAAGAGATGCAATGACGAATCGAGATGGAAGAGATATACGAAGAAGTGTTGCAGATGCGACATAGAACAGATTTGGCAGTCCAAAGAATGCAAGAAGCACAACGCCAAAAACAGTTCTAAGAGATGAAAGATATGCTAAATGAGCTTGTGCAAAGTACTAGACGAATGAGTCTTCATCTCCAAACTATAATTGACAACAACTCAAGAAGAGAGAGACAAGAAGCTCATGAAAAAGTAATCTCATCAATGGAGGACAATGATGTAGAAGATGAACCAAGGGAGGTGGTACTACAGCCGCTACCTATACTTCCTCCACCACCATACTCACTCAAGGGAACAGAGAAACTCACTTGTGGGAGTGAGCTGGTAGAAATTGTGGATGTGCTGAAAATCGATGAGACTTATCCTCCAAATGAAGAGGTGGTTGACTTGGGATTTATAGGTACCTTGATGAATGAAGAAGAGTCAACGATCTCCATTGATGAGGGTCATGTTGATGGAGTCAAAGGTAAACATACTTGGTGAGCGCAAGAAGAGATGGTTGATTTTGAGCAATTTCAAGCCGAGAAAATCTCCAAAGTGTTGGAAGAGTGGAGCAAGAAAGATTTTCCTCTATGTTGGATGATTCAAAAGTATGCTTCCTGGAGGCATGATAGGCTGATTGATGGCACATTCTTGTGGTATCAAGATGGCTATTCTGAGTGACTTGAAGCCACAAGAGTTGATTACGGAATGCATCTTGCATTTCAACATTTTGCTTGCTTCATGGGAGGCAACCCATGTTCTTTTCTTTTTAGTTTGTTTTTGTGTGATTTTAATTTTTTTCTTGTTTAATGTGTGTGCTTCCATGTACAGAAGAAGTATCAATGCCATCCCAATTCAATGAGGGATCCAAAAATGCAGCAGATCCTGATATCAGCCTCTCAGGAGAGTGAGTTTAGTCACTCTCCCAAGTGTGCCTGCAACAAACTGAGTTCCTGTGACTGGTTTGCTCTTGATTTCTTTTAGTTTTCATAGGATTTGTGCTTTGTTTTAAGTTTGGGGGATTGATGTCTATTCAAGCATGATTATCGTTAGTTTATTTTGTTTCTAAACTAAACATGGGAATTTTGAAAACTGAAGTTGTTGACCTTAAAATTTTGTATGTTTATTGCTGAAAATTCTAAGACACTCTGGGAAGTGACTCATGTCACTCGGCAAAGTGACTCTGCTACTTGATGTTTGAAGTCAATTTATTTCTTTTACACACCCATATATTTTGTTTTACCTTCATGTTTTCTTTCTTCTAGGTTCTTGAGACATCATTTGTATATCATATCCCTTAGTAGCTTGTTAATTCTGAAATTTTATGTGCTTTACTTGCTAGGCTTTAGTCTGGGGTAAAATTCTAATATCTTTATGAACATTGATGCCATATCTAGCAAGTTTTGTTATAATTTTCAGAATTAGTATGTTTGAGTGCATATGAGTCACCTAGTTATTTCTGAGTTACTAGTGATGAAATATCTTACTAGGCAACCAAAATTGATGGCTGAGAAGCCGGAGCTTCGGTTTCATCCCCTTTGTAATAGGTTAAGGCTCACTAATATTTGCTTTGCGGATGATTTGATGATTTTCTATAAAGCTGGTTTGCCTACTATTAAGTATATTAAGGAAAATTTTAATGAATTTTCTTGTGCATCTGGCCTTCAAGCCAATCTTAGGAAATCTGATGTTTTTGTTGGAGGAGTGGATGATTAATTAAAAAAACATCAGATTTGCTGTTTGAACGGGCTTAAAGAAAGGAAATTCCCTATGAGATATTTAGAGTCCCTATGTCTCCTAGAAAATGGAATCAAATAAAATGCAAAATGCTGGTAGAAAGGATTGTAACTAGACTTAAATGTTGGAGTACCAGGTATCTGTCTTATGCAGGTAAACTCCAACTCATCAACTCTTTCTTGATGAACCTACATATATACTGGGCCTCTGCATTTATATTGTCCTATAGTGTAACTTCTACGGGGAATAGGTAGTGTCAAGAGTTCTTATGGGGAGTGAAAGAGTCTGGGAGATACACAACTTTAGTCAGTTGGGATAAGGTATGTAGAGGAAAACTGAGGGAAGACGGAATATCTATGATGCTAGGATATGGAAAGAAGTTGTGGTAATGAAGCATATATGATGGTTAGCAAGCAAAAAAAGACAATTTATGGGTCAAATGGACCCATGCAATGTATTTAGGGCAACAAAGGCTCTGGAAAGTCCAAACTAAAAATGATAATAGCTGACACTGGAAGCAAATTCTCAGGATAAGTGATAAAGCTTGTGATGGGTTTGATGGTGAAAAACGGTTAAGGGAAAAAAAGGGTAGATACTCCATCACTTCAGGTTACAAATGGCTGCAAGGACAAGGTGAAAGGATGCTTGTTGCTCCCCTGATTTGGTCAAGACTCAACCTTTCAAAACATACCTTTGTAATATGGCTGGTTTGGAAGGGCAAAATTTTTACAAAGGATAGAATGATTTAGATGCATATTCCAGTTGTTGCCTGAAACTGGATGAGATTTAGAACATTCATTGTACATCAAAGGAAATGGAGAAGAGAACTACAATACATTTAGAAAAATACAAGGCTGAAGAAGCAAATTATGTATGCAGCAGTTGTTGCTTGTGTCTACTACTTATGGAAAGAAAAGAACGGAAGAATTTTCAAAAAGTAACATAAAGCATTGGCACACATCTTTCAGGAGGTATAGAGGATGTTAAAAATCTGATTCATCAAAGGAAGAAGGCCATGACAGAAAAAGAAAAAGCAATACTACATGAGTTGTTCACTTAGTTATTGATCATATTTATTTTTGTGATGCTGATTATTTTGTTTACAACAGAAATTAGGGCACTTTTGATAGGAGACTTGTATTCAAATATTGCATCTGAGTAATTGAAAATTATTTACAGTTTTCACCAAAAAAAAAAGATATAATTATTTGTAATAAAAATTTGTAACAAGAAATGAATTATAACAGTGCATACTTACAACCTAACTTTTACGGATTTTTTTTTTTCTTTTTTTGAAGAAAAGATAAGTTTTATTTATTTACTGGAAGAATGTCCAGTACGATTCGAAGTACAAATTGGGGAATAGATCCCAAAATTTTTACCCACCTTATTAGAAGTTAGGATAAATACTTGAAAATTCCCTTTCAAACAAAAAAAAAGTACTTGAAAATTTATTTGTCAAATTTTCCATACTAGTAGTATTACCACGCGAACACCGCGCCAGCAGAGCACGCGTGTGAGAGGAGTTGTATGAACCCGCTTTTCCGTCCCGAAGGGTCAAATGTGAGGAAGAAAAAACTGTGGACTGCTTTGATGAGACCACCAAAACGAGCTTGTTTTCTTCCTCCCAATCTTAGGGGCGGGGAACTCAGCTGGGCAACCCAAAGATATTTTCAATTTCCAATAAAATAATCCATCAATTCCACTCTTCCTGCTTCCCAATCCCTCCAGACCCCGACCATGGTTTTCTTCTTCAATCCAGTCTCCTCCTCCTCCCCATTTATCCTCATTTATACCTACATTCTTCCACTGTTTTCTGACTTTCTTACTCTTTCTTTCAGTTTTATCTTTTTTCCCCCATTTATTTCCATCCACCATTTTTTCTCCAACTGTTTCACATTGCTTTGCACTCGCCCGAGTTCCTTTCAAATCACTGGTCATAACCCATTTTCGATCTCACGTTGTTTCGACGAGTTCGATTTTCTATATAAATACATCTGGGATTCATTCCGTTCAAGCGGTTTAAGACTTTTGGTCTGAGTTTGGGTTTTTTTTCTTTGTACTGTTAAATGACTTTACTAAAGGGTGAGACTGATGGTTCGAGTTTGGTTGATCAAGCGAGGAATTTGATTGCCGATGTGAGTAATAAGACGATAAGGAAGAAGAAATGCAATAGGCGGAAGTTGGTTGTCAGTAGGACTTTGAAGAAAGTGAACGTGAACGTTGGGATTTTGAGGTTGCAGCGGCTTTTCTGGCTCTGCCAAGATGCATTCAGAGGTCCCGGCACCGTTCCTTCCCCAGTCCATGTCAACAGGCTCTGCCATATTCTTGGTATAGTATCCTGCCTAATTTTTTTTGTCGTTTGATTATTGGGTCTTCATATGAAACTAGTATGCTTCCCTTTTTAGTTGCAATAGATAGCTTGTCATGCATTTTCTTTTTTTATTCTGTTATAAGGACAGAGTATTGAATAGACGATAATTTTATTGGCTTTGTTGAAGAACAATTTGGAGATCAAATATTTGTTGATATCAAATGCTCTAATTGAGTAACTGGAGTAGATATGTGCAATTTTTTATTCTACTCAATTTAATTTTTATGGGGGCCAAATTATCTTAGATTTCATTTGTAGCTGCTAACTGGAATGATGGGTTGCAAAGAGTTTGGAGAAGGCTTGATCCAAGAAGATTACTTATATTGGCATGAACCTCTTGCATAATTATGACCTCAATTCCTCATTCAAGATGTTAGCTTGAATTGGGTGTGTATTTGCAATACTTTCTTAACTACTGTCATGCCGGAGATTTGTTTGAAATTTTCTGAGTCTTACTTTCCTTTGTCCAAGTGGAGTTAGTTTCCAAAGCTTAAAATAGAGGGGCGCATGTTTGTACATCCAGTAATTACTTCTCTACAGAACCAGTATTTCTGCTATTTTAATGGTTTGAGAAAGTATCGATGGAGAAGACAAACAAAAGAGAAAAGATTTGAATCAAATAAGATCTTGATACGTCTAGCTAGACTTGTGCCTGTTTTTATGTAACATCTAATTTGAGACATTTTATGGAAATAACCTCTTCCTTATTCACATCTTAGATATTTTATGGGCGGAACTTCTTCCTTGTTTACAGCTAAGATGGGGGTAATGTACTCCTGAGGTTGACTTGAATCTGTAGATATGTTTTCATGCTCTGCTAACTGGGAGATCACTTACCGAAAGACTATTTGGTATGATGTAGTTTGACAATTAAGGCAAGCTTTAAAGAAACAGAATCAACATTTGCAAGTTAGGCTTGCCATGGTTCACCCCTTTAGGCATCTAGTTCTTTGTTGTTGACCACTTCTGAATGAATGTTTCCTTCATCGTCTTGTCAGTGGTATAGATGCATAATTTATTTTCATTCTGTGTTGTGACCGATTCATGTTTTGTGCTTCAGACATAATGAAACCAGAGGATGTTGGGCTCATCAGGGATCTGCACTTCTTTAAGACTAAACGTGAACAAAAAACAAATGCACGAGTAGTTTATACGACCATCTACAAATGCCAGAATTTCTCGGTAAGATCTCTTTTGTATGCTTGGAAGAAACTTGATCTAATTTACAGTTGTAGATATCCTTTGACCTACTTATGATATAAACAATGAAAATTCACCTTCTGTTGTTATTGCTGTTTGTTGCTGCGATTAAAATCCTAGTCATCATTGTTCTACTATGTTTAAAGAACAAAATGAATCAGTATAACCACTATTATTTTGATAGTTAATTTCGGTGCGTAGTTTCAAACAGTTATCAATGCTGAACTATTTGTTGAAAATTCGCATTGCAGTTTTTATTTCACAAAATTTTGTGTGGCATTTGTAACCCAGTCAAATACGTAGCAGTTTTGTTGCTAACTAAAAAAAAAAGTACTTGGTCAAACTTTTATTTGATTCTTTTTTATCCTGCGTTTTGATCTTGCGTTTACTTTGATGAGCTCCATGTATTGACGAATAGCCTTTTGCAGCTGTGCATTTTTTTCCTTCCAGAAGGTGCAGTGATTCCCCTTCACAACCACCCAGGCATGACTGTATTTAGCAAGCTTTTACTTGGAACAATGCACATTAAATCTTATGATTGGGTTGACCCTACAGCATCAGAGTCCAGTCGATCTCTTTCACGATGTATGTGGCTGCTCTCTTTCTCTCTCTTTAGAGTTTAGATCATCTCTAAGTTGCTTTCCAGCTTCCTAATACAAATAAAATTTACTTACATTCAGTGAGATTGGCACGACTGAAGGCTAACCGCATCTTTGAAGCCCCATGTGACACGTCTGTTCTTTATCCTACATCTGGAGGCAATATTCATGAATTTAGGGCAATAACACCCTGTGCCGTACTTGATGTGATTGGACCCCCTTACTCGAAAGAAGATGGCCGAGATTGCTCCTATTACAAGGATTCTCCCTGTGATGCTCCTCTAGGTAAGCTTTGTTGTTCCTTCCATTCCATGTTGCATTGCTTGAGTTCTTTTATCAATTGTGGATCAATTGCATCTCTGTGCTGGTGGACGTATGTAACTGAATGGTAGGAACGAGTCTTTCACGCAATTTCTGCTTTTAGTGGAGTTTTTTTTGTTTAGCTAGCAGTTACCATTTTTCATTCAATACTTTTACTAGATGAAGAAAATTTTGGTAGCGAACTTCAGCCACTTCCAGGGCTAATAATTTTGAGACACTGTTGATCACTTTGGATTGCCCCTTGTGATATTTGTAGTATAATAGCGGAAAGAAGAATGAGAAAAATATAAAGTACACTCGAGGTTTGTTCTGTTTTCATTTTCGGGAATGTAGAATGCTGTGTTTCTTTAAACAAATTGATTTTTCACATCACCTCATTTGGGAAAACCTCTTAGACTTCTTCAATGTACATGATTTCCTTTGATTTTGTGGGACTCTTGTTGAGAGGCCTAGTTTATTATTTCCTGATAAATTAACAGCCAGCAATGTGTACTCTGCTTCTTCAAAAATCTCCAGTTCATCATGAATTTTGAAACTCCACATCTTGAGCTCAATATGACCCTACTGTCCTGTGTCTAAGCCCTCATACTTAGTATTAACCTCATTTTCTTCTGAGTTTCTGTATTGACATTATGCACTGAAAATTGCAGAGGGAAAAGAGAGTGACAATCGCTATGCATGGCTGGAGGAGATTGAAATGCCAAGTGACTCAGAGATGGATGTCATTGAGTACTTAGGACCCAGCGTTTCTCTTACTTAGTCGTCTAGTTTTGTGAATACAACTTCTCAAGAATGTAAATCACATGGTGTGAATTGTGTGTGTGACCAAATCTTTAATTTTTGTATACCTTTGGTCATGAACTTCTGTTGACGAGTAACTAGACGCTCTCCCACTCCTGACGCTTGAGTAGAATAGAGTGATTTTTATGAGAAATTAGCCATCTCAACATTTTGTCACCATACAACAATGAAACTTTAACCGACTTTGAAGCATTCATGTTGAACAGGGAAACATATTACTGAAATAGCAATCAGTCACGCTGATGTTTGAACTTAAGAACTTTAGACAGTAACTTACTTGCACTTGCAAAGATCGACAACACAGGTAACTTACTTACACTTACAAAGATAGAAGACAACACAGATACACGACATCTTATTATTTTGAGTTTCATAGATATCCTAACAAAGCAGAGAAACAGAGTATAGAAAGATGCATGATACAAAGGTGAATGCTGCAGAAGAGTACTTTAGCATAAACATGAATAGGCAATGTGGGTTTTGTTTAAAACGTAAGGCGAAAGATAATTCATATCTGCTTCGGAAGAAAGTGGTGAAGAAGACGATGATATTGATCTTCTTCCTGGAGGAGCAATGATTTGGGTATTACCAGAAGCAATTCTCAGCCCAGAAACACTAGCATAGAACAAGTTTGAAGATGTTGGCACAAAAACGTTGCTCTTGACGCTGAGATAAAAGTCAATGTATTTGTCGTACTGGAAATTGTTGGAGTTCAGATACCTTGCCCTCATATCAAGAGGCATTAGGGAATCCTGTTTGGGAAGGAATAAATCATTAATCCTAGAGTAAGAACGTCATAAAATTTAGGTGCTTCGTACTTCCTAAGCGAAAACTAATTATGAATACGATAAAAATCATCATGACACGCCAGGCTGATTCAATGTCACAAAAGAGAAAAAAAAAAAAAAGTTAGGATTCATGTTAAGGATACACGAAATTACTTGGATTTTCCTTAATTTTGGTGAATCACTATCCTCTTTCCCATATTGAAAAAGTTCTAAATTAGTCATCAACGTTCAATTAATGTTCAAATCAAGGATAATCAATCAGTAAGTCAAAATCAAATTAATTGATGATATGGCTATGGGATAGGACACATTATAATTTCGTGTTTTTAACTTGAATGGTTTAATTGAAACATTTCAAGATGGGAAAACATCAATATTTGAGACTTCATCTATGTGATTAGTCTCTATTAGGAAACAAAAGATAACAAATGAAGATAAAATTTGCAAGAAGAACGATCTTACCTTGGTGAAGATATTTGGATAATATTCTCTAAATGGTTGAAGGCTTTTGTGCCATCCAGTCTGAGTTATGTAGATTGTTGCATCCTTCCCAAAACCAATCTTCTTCATCCACTGTCCAATCTCTTTGGCACCAAAACAAGAAGACTGCTTGTTTGTTGCTCCCGAAGTGTCATTCTTTTTGCAACTCATCATCATCATCTTGTTTTTTTCCAACTCCTCAACCCTCAAATCCACAGCAACAAACTGCCCTCCAGATGATTTCAAGCTCAGAAACTGGAGTGTTCTAACCATCATTTCCACCAATTCTTCCAGCTCTGGCTTCAATTTTAGGCTTCCGAAAATCGCCAAACATGCGTAAGGATTTGTGAAATGGTCACTTCTTTCGTAAGCCCTTCTGAATGTTAGGGATGGATACTGTGAAGTGCTTGTCATGAGTCTCACTTGTTTCTTCTTCCTAAATATTGGTTCGATTTTTGAGTTTATGAACTCTGTGGTGACCCTTTTGGGAATTTTAACGATATCGATGTCTTTTTCTTTGTGTTCTTCCTCATCAAAAGTGGTGGAATGATCTTGGTTTACCACTTCAATGATTTCATCTAAACTTGTTATGAACTTTTTAGTGTCGTAGATTTCTCCAAAGGCTCTGAAAATCAAGGAAATTAATTAAGGAGGCAATGAAAATGTGGATAACTAAAGAATTTAGTAAAGTATGATTAGTTTGATAACAATGAAAACTCAAGGAAAATGAATTGATTTTGAGACGAGTAATGATATTCACAAGGAAAAACAAGTCTACTGACCTCTTCTCACCGCCTTTGGTTCCTTGTATATCAGGAAGAACAAGTTTAGCTCGAAGATGCTTAGCTATGAAAATTGCGTTGGCAATCTGAGATGCATTTGGAAAATTTTATTTATTAATAGTGCATAAAAGAATTTAAATATGTACTATCTAACTTTACAATTCCTTGCGCAAAATTTAGAAAATTTCAGGGGGAAAAAAAAAAAAAAAGAGCTCATATGATTTATATGGTTGGATGAATGTGATATACATTTATAGTGAAGTACCTGCAAGACATGATATTCAGGACCATTAGTGAGTGAGAAGTGTACATAACCTTCACTTTGCTCTCTCTGCTGTGCTTCTGTAAAGAAAAAAAAAAAACAGATAATTAAAATTGAAAATAAATTTTGAATTTATGAGTTATTTACAATACATAACAATTAATAATGATTCTTTAAGCGATCGGTGTAACGAAATTATTTTGATTAGCAATCACGTGATACACATAAAAAGAGAGAAAATCATCATAACTATCACGTAAGAGATAAAATTTTAATAATAAAACGGTTATGTCTTTTACGGATATAACGTCGTGTTCTTTGAGATATTTCTCGATCATTATCGCGAGAAAAAAATAACATAAATGCTTTGACGTACTTAGAGCAGAAAACTTTTTCCAGCAAGGTCTCATTGCATCAGTGGATGAGCCAGTAGTTAAATGTGCAACTTTGACATTGAAGACATTGTGTTGAAAACCCAAAGAAACTTGAGGAGCATTAACCTGCAAAAAAAAAAAAAGGAAAATTAATTAAAATCAAAAGACGATGAACTATTTGTCAGATACTAAAATATTAATAAAATATATTTTATCTGCCCAAGATGATTGTTGGGAACAATTATAGAATGATGCCAGATGCCTCAATTTGAGTTTAAAAGTACAATAAATAAAATCAAATAAAATGAGACACTTATTACTTGCATTTTCTTAATTTCTTAAACCTAACTCATAGGGTGTCAGGATAATTGGAAACATTCTAAAATTTACCTTAAATATAAATAGGTTTTATTTATGATTCTCTATCCCAAAATTATTGTCTTATTTATTAATAATTCATAATATAAAGAGTATAAAATTTATTTTGGGACGAAGGATAATTTTCAAGCTTTTATCCCAACTTGTCTTTATTACATCCATTATAATAACGGAGAGGTGTGATTATAAAAAAGAGCTTTTATCCCAACCTGTTCTTTTTATAGAATTTCCTTTTTTACTACGTCCGCCGACTTACAAATATGGAGATGGATCGGCAAGGAGATATGATCAATTACGAGTAGTAACTTTTTCCTGCACAAATTAAAGTATTTTCACAATAGATAATATTTTTAATTCTTATTTTACGTGTCAAATCATCAGCATACTTACACAATACTTAAATTAATTTATTTACAACTTACTCACAGTTGAATTAAATTATATTAAACCTTACGCGTCTAAATTAGGTAGAGTTCTCACGCACACAGAATGTGATAGTTTAGCCTTTTGTATTTTAGCATTTTTTGCTGTACCAAAACAACAAAAATAAATTACATTAAAGAGTTATAAACGATAACATCGTCAAAATGAGTGCAACTATTCACTTTAAAAGTATTGCATGTACGGTTACAAAATCATAAATCTTGTATCCTCAGATGTGAATTAAGATAAGGGAAAATAATACTTAAAGAAGAGTTCTTTCTCCTTAATTAAAAGAAAAAAAATAGTAACTTTTTACTTCAGTTTTACTTTTTGGAGCGGTTAAAGCCAGATTGTGATAATGTTTTATTCATTTTTAAATTGTAGTACTTTTATTTATTTATTGTAAACATATACTGGACTGCCTTTGTGTATTCTAGAAGAAAGAGACGCGTTATTCATTTTCTCTTTTTCTTATTCCTTTCTTCATTTTAAAGTTGGAAAGAATAGCCTCCAAAGTATAAAAGAAAACGGATTTCAGTTCTAAATTTTAAAATATATTTACATATTCTAAAGGCACATTTTTTTCCTTTTTAAAATACATGTTCATCTCACTTTTTTTTTTTTTTGTTTCAAATTTTAGCATTTTTAACTTCAGATAACGCACAGATGAAAGCAGACCAAGCTCGGAGGAATTGGACCAAAAAAGCAGCGAAATATCCTAATTTTTTACGCATTAAACATTTGAAAAGTTGGAATACATGTTCAATCAACAATTTAACTGCCTATCATCTTTTTAATAAACACTAATTAGAAGCCTTAGCGTTCATCCTTTTGATTAGTTGAAGTGAACCTTAATCAGATCTTCCAATCCATGAACAAATCTTTTGAATACTAATTAACAATGAGTAATAAAGACACAAAACTTAATTATATAAAGTCGCTGAGAATATCCAATACCCGAAAAATAGTTCTGTTAGTTGAACTTCTGTCTTCATTACAAACGAATAAAACCATTATTTTAAGACAGAGTAATACTGTATTAATTATCGCCTCGATATGGGTCCATCTGAATTTTTTTAAAAAATCACATAATTAATTATATCACGTAATTAGTAGATTGGCTTACCGGCATTAGCAGGGGATCAATATGCTCCCTCTTGATCATATTTCCAAGCATGAGAAACATGGACATGGTGAGAAAAGCTGCAACAACCTGCCTGAAGTAGTCCATTCTTGAGCTAGCTAGCTACTGGAACTATATATATTTTCTCCCAAGAACTTCACAAAATTGTCCTTTCCTTTTGGGCTTTGGGTTTGAGCTTGATGGCTATATTTGTAGCTTCTCTAATATTTGAAACATTTAAGTATATATAGACACATAATCAGCCATTTTTTAATTTTGTATCTGTAATGCTTAGGCAATCTCTTAATGTTATTACATACTCGATTTGTTTGTTTTCGCGTCGAAACACCGAATAAAAAGTAGGAAGTAGAGGAAAAGGTGACATGCACAATTAAGGAAGGTGACAATGAAAGACAGCTAATAAAACGCTTGCAATTACATGCAACTTTATTTCATAAGTTAGCTTTTTTTCCTTTTTATATATTTTTCGATACCAAAATAATTATCTATTTAAATTTCTTTTTTTAGTATAATTTGTACTAAAATTAAAATTTCAAAGTGCACAATTATTTCAGGACACAGGAAATATATAAAGTATTCAATATGATGATCTGGATTTATATATGTTTAAGTTGAGAGAATTAGTAACTCAAATTAAAAAGAAAAGAAAGAGGAAAATTTAAGATATTTGAAAAGAGACTATTAAACATCACACCAACTATTTAGATTTAAATCAAATTATATATATTTTAATTGAACATAATAACAACATATGATTTACATAGCCGATTCATTAGAGAGAAAGAAGCCATTTTGAAATCATGATCCGCAATTTTTTTCTTCTTTCGGTTTGTGCGTCAGGTGAACTAAGCGTATGTGCTGAAAGCCCTGGAACCGAAAGTAAAGGTGATAGAGCCTCTGGAAACCGGTTAAAAATTTCTTTCAGAAACATTTTAAGTGTTGTAAATTGTGCCGAACAAGAAAATATTTAATATAGCCATTGTAGATAAAGGGGTATTGGAACTCAAATCTTGTACTCTATCCATTCTATTATGTGCCGTTTTGTTTTAATATAGAAAATTTTTAAAATAAGTATTACTTTCTAATTCCAATGCAATTTTAGCCAAATTTTTCAAACTTATTTTTAAAAGAAATTGTATCAGTGGTAGCTATTTATTTTAATGGAGTAGGTTACGGATATTTTAATAATTTACCTATTCGATTTAAGTATTTTTTAACTGTGTATAAGTATTTAACTACACTTGTTTTAAACTAGAGAGAGTTACCAACTTTGCTTTTTTACTAGTCATCTCAGAAGAATTTGTATCTATATTTTTATTTGTGGCTCTTCACATACAATATTAATGAAAGAAATTAAATTAAGCCCCGATGATTAGGATGTTCTACCTTTAACCGTCAAGTTGAGGATTCAATTCTTACCACAGACACGGGATATGATAAAATTTTCACAACATAATTCATTTTCTAAGTTTAACTATATACTAACATGTATCAAGATCATAATAAAAAGATAGTTAGCAAGATAGTACAATTAACTATTTACATCGAATTTTGTATAACATAATTGCTGCACTGATTTGGTGTTTTCATCAGAATGCACAACAAACTTAGCATTTTAGTGCTTTGGTCGGAGTTACTCCAAAAGGTTGTTGTTGCTGTCACTTTCAAATTTCTTATTTATTTCATACATTACATTTTCGTTATTTTTATTCTTATTTATTTGCAAAAATGTAATAATTGTGAATTCATTGTATGTTCATTGAGAAAATAACTCTTACTCTTTAAAACAAAATTTGACTTTAATTCCCTATTGTAACATGAAAGGGGTTCGCTATACCCTCAATCATAGGAATCTAATAAAGTTTGTTATAATAAGATTATATATGAACTCATGATTTTGTATTCGATTTTATCACCTCAAATTTAATTAGGATAGTTTATTTCTTATTATGATTAGGACTTACCAAAAGTGGTCCTCTCACTATGATTTGAGCTGGACTATGGTGCTTTGCAAGCTATTACAGTACGCGTGGATTTTCCCATCTTTGGTTGAGGTACTAAAAGAAAAAACAGAAAAATCCAAAAAAAAAGGAAAAAAAAGTGATAGTTTTAATTCTTTAGACTTTGCCTCTTTCATTCTCACTTCAAAAAGTAGTCCAATAAATGCAAGTTGGCTGTTTTACAATGAGTAGTAATTAATACATGAAAAAATACAAGTAGAACATTTTTGTGAGAAACTTTGCTAAGAAGTACAAAAAAAATTTTGTGAAAAAAAAAGAAAAAGAAAAAGACGTACAATAAAAAGGGAAATAGACTACTATGGGGGTCGAACAATAGTTCTGAATTCTGATTTTAAGTTAATATTTTTAGTATTTGAAACATTCCAAAATCACGGTATATTGCAAAGTAGTAACTGAATTTCTTAAACAATGTCAAGAGGTTCAGAAAATCTGCCAATCATATGTTGAGAATGCTATAGAAAGGACAAACCTCTATTTGAATGCCTCAATCTCAGAAGGCCATGGACTTGATCTCCCAGGCTAAGCCCTTGGCTATTATACTGGAAATAAGTTCCTTCGGGCTATTAGTCTGATGCAGGTTAGACTATTTTGCTACGATTCTCAAGGATTATTACTTGCATTTACCATGTTTGCTGCTATTCATATGGCTTAAACTTCTTTTTGGTTATCTACTTTAAAACAGGATGGTATTTTATGAGAGATGCCTTGGATCAGATTCTCCAAACGCCAGTTCATAAAACCAGCAAACAGACTTCAAGAAATCGAAGCATCAATGAGAAACATGGGAATTGCTTTGGGTCTTGCGGTGCTAATTGGTGTGAAACAGAAAAATGGTTTTTGGTCAGGCCTAACAATTGCTATCAGTTTTGCTCTAGGAAAACAAGCAATTTTCACATTGGCAAATGCTCGGGCACAAGTAACAGCAATCGGATCAGTCTAGGAACCTTCGTGTTCAAGAATCTTCTTGACATACGATGGCAGAAGCTTGCTGACATAAGATTCGTAGTCTTCACTAGTTTTCTAAGGAAGAGTCGGATGTATGGTGAGGCTGGTGGTGTTCCCGCAGATATTGGAGCTCTATTGATCCGAGGGAAGCACAACTACGGAACTGCAAATGACTTCGCTATAGCCCGGCTTATCAGAGGTCAGACTAAATTCTTTTATCCTTGTAGAGCTGCTTTTGCAACCAGTCATGGCATCCACTTTGGCCAAGCAAAACCTCTATCTCAGCCTTGGAAAACTTCAAGAATTCATGGTGCAAACAACTCAACCCTCAGAGAGAAGGATCGATCACCTCTGAACTTCCAAGGGTTTGACAGAACACATCATTTTAAGTCCCATGACCATGAGTTCGAGAAGTTCATCGACCAAGCGGAGCTAGAACCAAATTTTAGGTTTTAGCCAATCAGAATAGGAAGCTCCACGAGTCATTGTTAAATCTGGTTGACCTCCTGTGTTGCACAGCCAACCACCTAGAGTTCGTTCCAGTAGAAGTACAGCGTAAATTTGAAATGTGGACGAAGCTACAAAATCAAATAAATGAGGCCTTCAAGGCTTGCAACGACACCTTGGGCTCTTCATTCACAGACCTCGAGAAAGCAAAAATATTGAAGTCATATGGAGTAGCTCAAGAACTACACGAGGTAAACCTACTAGAACATATTGAAAATGGGAACTGCCAAATAAAAAGTACGTCACATGGGTCTGTTATAGAAGACAAGCACTTAAAAAGTTTGAAAGTTTTTATCTTCAGCAGCTCAAAAAAGATTACTGAAGACATGAGGGAGGAGAATGAAGGTGAGGCAGAGTTTGAAGGAATTCAAGCATTGCCTACTTTGGGATTCTGCATAAGCTGTTTAATAAGAGAAGCACAAGGGACTTTCAAGCTTACAAAAGAATTGATACCATGGAAGACAACTTTGATGTAATGAGCAACTGAGAGTCTGATTGATGTCATGTGCGTAGGGTACTATCACGTTACTCGGCCACCTAAAACAGAATTAAGTTACCTAGGATATCAATTCAAAGATATACTCTCCTACCACGGAAAACTTTCACATCTCTCATCCGCTAGAACACAAACTTTCAAGCTATGTTTACGACTCATAGACAGAAATATAAGAAGGCAGCATCCAAATGTAGCTAAGTTCTGATTTTAAAATTTAAAAATATCAAAAGAAATCCCATTTATAGTCGACAGCAGATGATCCACTGCATCGAGTACATTTCCCTATGAGGTACCATGCCCAAAATTCACTAAAACTAGTCGAACTTGAAACAAATAACAACATGGGCTCTCAATTACCCTCGTATTTGGGGTCAGCCATCACATAATGATAAGCAATCACAAGTACAAATATAAAGATACCAAGAAAGTTGGCGAAGAAGCCCAGATCTTGATCGTCAATCATCTGTCACACAACACATCCCAAAATAACAGCATGAGCATAGGAATGACAGGCATCTTCCAAAAAAATGTTAATGGTTTCAAAAGGGAATAACTATGTTCGGTAATAGCAAATCACAAATTTTACAAGATAGTTGCATCACTGTAACCTATTCCACATAATGTAATATTGTAAACACAAGATAACTAGGAAGAAAAAGGTTAGGAAGAAAAAGGTAGACACTTTACATGACAATTCGTGTTCTGCAGCCCTTCAACATACCATACAAACTCTTTAACCTTTATCAATCATGCTTGCACTAGGGGACGCACTATGACATAGCCTTAATTTAGCTCTCTTATTCCCTTCAACACAAACCCCTTTCCAGCTTTCTCCAGCCAAAACTGGATGGACTAAAACCTATTCCAGAAGGTTTCTCTCTAAAACTCAAGAAGTGTACGAGGACATCTCAATAAATCCACCTAAAACCTAGTCTGAAACAAACAGTTTCTAAAATGAAAGGCACTGAAAATAAAACAACAGTATATGGGCATCCCAAACCAAAACCAAAAGCAACCTGACCTCAAACGAGAAGTATGTTTAGATTTGACTAGAATCAACAGATTAAATAAAATGTTGAACAGACGGAGAAATCCCTAACAAAATTAAATGCGGAGAAACAAATGTATATAACCTAAAAAACTGGTACTCAACATCATACGAATCCGAGAAATTCGATCCAATCCATGGATCTTCAACAGTAAATCAACAAGAAGCAATCATGAGAGATATAATTCCACAACGGAAATCAAAATTCCGATAAGATCAAAACGATAAAGTCAACCAGTACAATTGATCTGAGAGAATGAGTATAGATGTAAATCTTACTTTCCCAAGAAACAAAAAGAAAAATCAGCTTGATGGGTCAGAGCCACAAGTCTCCTCTCAAACACGAGATGAACTGTGAGCAGTGAGCAGAGTGTTAAAATTTCCCCACGGGAAGTTTTCTCTTTTCCTCCCGATGTCTACGCTTAGGTGAAAAATCGATAAATCGCTGCCCAAATTTGAGTCAAAAGTGAAATTAATTCATACTCAAACTTTAGGGACTAAAATTTGTTGACGTTCCAAACTTTAGGATCAAAAGTGCAAATTTGTTCCGGATAAAACAACCCATTCATTGTAGCCCACCTGTAACAACTTTTATCCATTCTGACTCGTTGAACTACACAGCAAGCAGTTCTGATATATAGCCAAATGTGACCGACTGTGAATTTTCTGGTGCAAAAAAGTGTTTTATTCGAAATTTCTAAGATTTTGTTGTTTATCAGGCCAAGTGAAACTCGAAAAAACACAAATGCCATTGCAATTAGTAAAATCATCTATTGGTAATTCTAAAAATTCAAAATATTTTCGTAATTGTAATTTAAGTTATAAGAATATGTTTACATTTACATGTTAGGCGTTCATTACAACAAATCTTTGGCCAAAAGAGGGCATTTGGTTTGTTCGTAGGTTTCACTATTGGGTTAAGTATTATAACGGGAAAGGTTTACTATCGGTATACTCATTCCAAAACAGTTGTTTGGTTTATAAATTAAGTTTAGGTATTATTCTATTTTTTTATATTTAACTTATTAGATTAATGACACAAAACTCAATTATAAGATTTTAAAAAGAACAAATATTTTCATTAAATTAATAAATATTTTTTTTAAAAAAAAACTTAACTAGCTTGATTGCATCCTAATAACTCTTATTTCAATATCAAATTTAATAAAATAACAAATTCTACGGTTCAATCCCAATTCAAATTACATATTAATTAATATAAATTCTCGCTCAATGATGTTGGTAATTTAAATTTGACCAAAAAATTTCAAATAAAATTTTGAGTTTTAAAACTAAGCAAAAATTATTTTTATAATATAATAATAAATTTATATACAATATCATGTCATGGTAAAACAAATTGTGGAAGATAAAAATTGTTGCGAAAACAGGAATCAGATGAATCCGACCTCTTGGTGGGTTTAGAAGATTCCTAAATAATTGGGAATCAATCTATTAATGCCAATTTAAAACCCGCCAACCAAACACCTATAGCTGGAATTATTTCATTCCCTCATTCCTATACCCACCAACCAAACACCGCCTAAATGGATTTATACATTTCATTTGCAATGTCAACTTTAGCATTTCATGGACCATTCAATACCATTGGTTGGTGAAAAGTCCAAAAATATGGTACTATACTTTTTATGACATCGAACAAGAGGTATCAAATTGTAAAGCTATAAACTCAACAAAATTTAGAGAAAGTGTTGTGATAAAAGTAATGCATATTTAAAAACTAACCTTTATGGTGTTCCCCTGCCGCCCCAAACCTTAACAATGTGAAAAACATACCAAAATGAATAATTGATCTACATGTTAATCCTAAATTTCATAATAATATTTACAACAAACCTTTTGCATCCTAGGCTACTACGATATGGTTAGTCCAAAGAAAATGAACAAATTATTGGACAACACATTTAGGTTTACCCAGTAAGTAACAAAAGAAACAATGAAAAATCTCAAATTCTAAACCAATACTTTAGATGTTATGATCCACTGCAAACCCCCCGATGGCCATCCTGGTTAGCACCGATCAATTAAGAAAATTAAACAAGTGGAAGAGAATGTGGTCCTTTTTGGAAATGGTGCTAGTAAAATGGAAGACAATTAAGTATTTATGATATTTTAATTTAAAAACTCAATCATTTTCATATTCTTTATTTAAGAATATCTTTAGATTCTCGGAATTGAGAATAATCTAATGTCATGTTGGTGCACCCAAGAAAAAGAGGAATACTATGTCATGTCGTCAATATTATTGTTACAAATTACATGCTAGAGAAGGTGACAAATCATTTCTATTGCACATTGGTAGACAATTACAACAATATATAATAGATATGTACATTAAGATTAAAAATCAAAATTAAGATTTCTGATTTATTATTTTAAAACGTAATTAACAGAATTGAATTATAAAAATTTGATTTTCTTTGTATTATAATAATATTATGGAGAAAACGAGTTGAATTATTTTTGGGAAAATAAAAGTTGATAGAAATTGGATTACTAGTATCCAATTTAAGCTAAAATTTGATAGTTGAAGTCTGACTTTTCCAATAGCCGGATTTTCGTAATCCAGTTTATACAAAAATAAAAGATCACAGTAGTTTATCACAAGTGGAATAGTTTATAAATAATTAAAAATGCTGGCATATTATATAAAATATTAAAAAGTTTAAAATATATCCAAATTAGAAACTCAAATTCTACTATCAAAATAAAAAATGAAAAATAGTTACATCATTGCAGGAAAATTTTAGTTTGCTTGCGTTTCCTTTTACCTCTACGAGATAGCTTTTTTATGCTCGAAGAAGCTCGTTGAGGGGGCGCCATAGTGCTTGTTTCTCGCCCTCTTCATTGGCCTCTTCCTCTCTCTTCCTCCCTCTCATTCATAGGAGGAGTCTTATATGGTCCTTGCGGACGGAATAAATAAATCACTCGCGACTTTCTACCTCCTATAATATTATTCTTCGATTTTTTTTCCGAATTTAAATTGTTGATTTTGAGACGGTTTATTAAGGAGCATTTCTATTAGATATGTACAACATATCATCTAGGCCAATAATTAGGGTGGTGAAGGAGTTATTGATGATCTTGTTAAGTGCCAACTGAAGTTCGTGGCCAACACTAGGGTCACTAGTTCAAAATTTTCAGTAATGTGGTAAAGAGATACATAAATATATTTTATTTCTTACTGTTTTCAAATGTGTTGCCTTTGTTTAGAAAAAGGTCAGTGATATTAGCAACATAATTATTAGGATCCAGAGCAATTTTTATATTATTGTCCATATTGTCCTTATTTATGTAGAACTCCAACTCTATTTCCTCTCTGCTTTCTTTTCTATCTATCAATCCGTTGCAATGGTTCCTTCTCTTTGCAAATGAATTAAACAGAGAAATAGTACTGAATATTTGGTTGCAAAACCAGAACTTAAAATCCTGCCCAAATTTCCAATCCTTGAACACATGACTTATCCCTGAATTTGATACTAATTTTATGCTCTCCTCGGTCATATTCTTCTCATGCTTCTCTCCTTTATTTATTTATTTTTTGTCACTATTTAAGTTCCCAGTTTCAAGATTAACTTATGTTGATTAAACATGGTTGTGCATATATGAGTTCTATCATATTTAGTTTTCTTCCGTACGGTAGAAAGACGTAAATTGTAAAATTGTATAGTTATGGTTAGGGTTAGGATTTCTTATTTACGGCTAGGATTTCTTGTCGTGTTGTATATATATCACATGATTATGTCGAAGCAAAATCAGTTTTTACTGTAAACTCTTTATGGTATCATGAGCAAGGTTAATCAAACCCTAAGCTCTTCAAACCTTGCCACCTATCATGTTACTTCTTCGCGGTTGTCTTCTCCTTCATCAACCATAGATGACAAAACTTATTCTTCTTATTCAATTTTGGT